CCTTTATGAGTAATCTTGTTTGGTTCTTTTAATCATGACAGGCGCGCAGGAAAGCCAGCGCCATGGTGTACAACAAACAGAAAGTAAAGGCAAACAGCACTTAACAAATGATTTTCATATATTTCATATTATGTACTTGGAAAATAAATATGAAATCAGAGCACCCCACGTTTCTTAAAATCAAATCCAAACCAACAAACGTGAAACATCCATGGTGGAATCATTTTTAATTGTTGTTTTAAACCTGGTGTTTGCCAAAAGGTAGCAAGAGAGAGAGAGAGAGAGTGAGAGACGCTGCACATTCGGAAGCAAAATTGTTTTGGCTTTTGATATACATATATATATATAATTATATATATATAGATTTTAAAAAAACATGCATATTATTTGTTTAATTAATTATATATATATATAATTATATATATATATATATATATCGATATCTTTAATATGTGTGTCTGTGCACATGTCGCGCTAGCAGCTCTGATCCGGTGGTTCCACTGGGCACTCAGGCGTTGCCACAAACGTTGCTGAAGGTCAAGCCTCCCAGAGTCCCATCCAAACCTGCGCGGTCTGGGGAAGTGGTCTGGGGATATCGGTCCCTTAGTGATCCCAGCCACGTTGCAACGGAAACTCCCGGCCATGGCCATGGCCATGATGACACCGGAGATGCGAAATTTGGATTGTACACCCCATGGGCTATGGATGGCTATGGAATATCTCTTATGAATTTTCCATGCTTAGTTTAGTAGTTCAATCTATATAATCTATGACCATTTTATAGGAGCAAACCACCATCTCCTGCACATTGTGGGTCGTACCAGGGCTTCATTCAGCGGGGCTCTGAATGAATCCTTCACTCAGAGCTCGCAGATGAATCCGGATCAGTTTCATGGATCATTACCCTCTGGTAATTTAACATAGCTATGGAAAATCACTATTTTTTATGGGAAAATCCACTATAAATGGCCATGTTCAATACTTATGTTAAATTACCAGAGGGTATATATCATCGAATCATCATCCAATTTCTTCCCATTTCTTCTATTTGAGCTGCTTTATAATATTTTATCATCCCATCTGCAGAGAGACTTCTCAATATGTACCCTCTGGTTATTTAACATAGCCATGGGAAATGGCCCTAATCGAAATAGATGGTTTACCTATTAAAAATGGATGTTTTCCATGGCTATGTTAGTCATAACCAGATGGTATTCATCCTATCAGCAAACCGCGAAAAAAAAAAAAAAACACCAAACTTTCGAAACATCGCCGCGGATTCGCCTAAGACTTGACGCAAGTTGACGCCATGACGTTCACATGGATCAACATGGATCAACACCCTACCCGGTACCCCAGCCACGAAACATGAACCAAGTCCTGGTTGGGATTTTTTTCCTGGGACATCTATGGTGGATACCGTGGTTTTTTATACCCAGCTGTTTTTTCATGGTACTGTTCATCATGATTTTCCGCAGTGAATCTGAACCCGGGAAAAACCCCTATGTTTGGACAAACCAAGATAGAGCCATCCCAGATCATGATCCGAGACTAATGGGTACCATGTCACATAATCGATGTATTTCTGGGATTCTTATGGACTGTAAGGATAGTCTTGTGGCCATTTGTGGCATACTGGCGGATATTATTTTTTTTTACCGGATTTCAAAGCATCGTTTCATCGATATCACAAACTATCACAGACTTTTATGGCTTATGAACCCCATCATCACACATCATCAACGTATATAAACGATTATAAACGTACATGTAACAGTTACAGGGTTGCTCGCTGATAATTTTTAGCGAAGATCTTCAAGATCACCAATTTTCATCGAACTTGATGAGCCATGGCCTCCGAAGCTATGTCAATTTACCAAGTTGGGTCTGTCTGAGTGGCCCCAAAATTGACATCCAAAATCTTCCTTAAGTGGCTTTGTCTGAAGTTTAGGTATCCCAAAATTTGATTTAACGTTTTTTTTCTCATCATGTTCCCTATCAACTTATCATGCTGGGGCCCACTCAATTCCTAGCTCCGGCTCTCCATTGCTGGAAATTTGGATAGCAATAGCTCCGAAACGCTCCCGAAATTCACTACTTTTCTTGTAAAATAGCCATATGATATGCTACTTTGCCCCGAATTTGGTGGTTGATCATGATTTTCATATAGATATATATATATATATATTTGTTCATTTCATTTTCCATCTCTCTCTCTCTCTCCCCATCGCCATCCCGAAGGTTCACTATCAAAATCCTCAGGTTCCTTCATGTTCAATTCATTTTCCCTATGAAAATCGTTGAAAATCTATCCAAATCATCATCTTCCCCAGCAAAATAGCCATATTTCAAGGCCCAAATCTCGCGTTCCTTTGGCGTTCCCAGGCCCATTCAGGGCCTCCCAAGCGCGCGCGAAGCTCGGACACGGAGACCAATTCAAAGGAACCCACGTGGAAGGAACGGCCGTTGACCTGGCGGGCCCTGACCCTGGCACCGGGGGAGGTTTCACCACCAAAACTATGGTGGATTTCCTTGGGGATTCAATATCTAGAAATGGATTTCCATGATTTCAATATGGGGATATTTCAACATGGGGATTTCATGGTGATTTTTGAGAATTTGCGATTGAACATTGGCATCTAGTGAATCTACTTCGATGGTTGATCGTTCTTAGACATGGTGACTTTCCATAGTTGGTGATGGGACATACCTAGGTTGCTGACATCTGCATCGAGAACTCCACCTTGTCATGGTGCACGTTCGCCCTGCTAGACGTGGCATGACGTCCCAGCAAAAAACGTCCCCAAAAACCATGGCCCATTCTGTCATGGGGAATGAACATGAACATTGGTGAAGCAACCAGTGATAACCAATGAAAGTTTTGGTCCAAACATCAACACATGATGAACCAGGCCTTGCTTTCCAGAACGCCATCTGCAAAGTTAAATTTCTCACCTCAGATGACCAACGGGCCCACGAATCGATCACAATCAAACGATCCATATATCTATCCAGTCATATCCAGTCATATCCAGTCATATCCAGTCATCAAAACGAATGTTATGTATGTATATATATATAAATCCATATATATATATATGTGAATATATATATATTATATATATTATATATATTGTATATATAAAATATGATAATATTACTTGCAATTAATTCACAAGCCATTACCCAAGCGATGCTAAGCGGCGTGTCCTGTCGAAAGCCTCCTCTGCGAAACCGAAGGTCTCCGAAAACCAATGGGGCGAAGCCACGGTTCCTGGCACGAAGCGCACTGGAATCCCTCAAAACCTCCGGGGGACCTCCAGGGGGGCCCCGGTGGAGGGGTTGAAAATAAGCTGTTGGATCGAGATGACTGAAACTGCCTTCAAGCCACCCAGCAAGCTGAATCTTAAAACATGTTTCTCTCTGAAAATGGGGCACTCCCAAATGCCCAATTTTGGCATCATTACTTCCAATTCAAATGGCATAAGCCCAGCACTTCAACGGGAAGCCCGCCTGGCATGCAGCTCAGACTGGCTTTACGCCATGGCGTTTTATGCCGCTGCAAACGAATCTCGGATGGGAAGCTCAGTCTGATCAGGGAGATCATCATCCCACAAGATCTTTATGATGTTTATGGGATTATGTTTATGCATGTGTCAACCATCATGAAACAATGTATCAAATCATATGGTTTAATATGTTTTTTCTGTGGTTGACAGAATTTCATAAAGCATCCCCCAGTCATCACCATGTTGATGGATGGTATAGACCATCAAAAATGCTGTGGTTTGAGAGACATGGCTTCGTGTCTTGGCCGTTGATCCAGCACTCATTGGCAACTAACATGTGCTGGAAAATGCTGGAATACTCCAAGTAAGGTTATGTAAGTTATGTAAAGAACAACTGACACTATGTGTATGTTTGAAATATATGTTTTATATGTAATTTTCTTGGTTTATCACTTGTACTTGTACATCTTTATCATCTTTATATAATACCAAATACATCCAAATGCGCCAAAAGATGGACACGTGCACTGCTTGCTTGGCAGCCTGAAATTCAATTGGTTTGACCGAAAAAATCAAAGCATTGATTGTATTGCTGTACGGTACCCATTGGACGCACAAACATACACAATTCAATCGGTGAAACCTGACTCTTGAGTCGTTTTCCAATGATAACACAACAATTTCCCTGGGACCATGCTAAATCAGTCGTGCCATCTGTAACTTTTCCGATTTTAGGGTCACTCAATGTCTAACAGCGGCAAATAATCCCAGTCCTCCAGGCACTGCTGCGGAGAAAATCCCAGTTGGTGTGTGATGAATCTCAGCAAATCCCAGCCCAATTTGACCATTCCTTTCTCCAGAGGGTTGTATAAAATTGTATAAACATGTATAAACTTCAACCATCATAAGCATCCAAAAAAATTGGAGCTGAAGTTGCATGGTTCTCCACCAATAGATCATCCCAGTGGACGCCTTTTTTGCAGATCGGGAGTCCGAAGCGCCAGGTTTTTCCCAGCTCCAGTCCCAGAAAGGTAGCAATGTGATGCCACCTGGCGCCACCGGTGGTAAATTGATGTAAATTGATGATTTAGTCCTCAACCCTGGTGATCATTTAGTAGATAAATCATAATAAATCACAATAAATCATAATAAATCATAATAAATCATAGCTATCATAGCTAGATAAATGATCATTTTACTCTTTTAAATTCTTTTAATCTATGTTAATCTTCTTTATTTAGCAGAGTTCCATCCTTTGGGGTGTTGGGGACAAACAAGTTTTTGCTTGTATTGCGATGACATACTTGCGGCCGGGTCCAGGAATGTTCTTCGGGGGCTGTGCGACATGGAAAGCGGATAGTTTCGCCGCACCTAGCTGAGCCAAACCGCCACATCGGTCAGCTGACGGGTTGCAAGCTGAGAGTACCGCGCAGTGCAAGATGTACCCTTTGGTAAACTAACATAACTATGGAAAATCACAATGTTTAATGGGTAAATCAACTATTTCCATGGCCTTTTTCAATAGCTTTTTGTATGTTTACCAGAGGGTAAACGAATGTAAACGAAGCTCCTTCTGCTTTTTCTCTTTTGCTCTCTCCTACTTAGGACAATGCAAAATGAAACCGGAAGAGTTGGAGATGGATTGTTGCCAGTCGACCCAAGCCCAAGTGACCCTCGTATGTGCGGGCCATCACAGCCACACCTGCGGCGACCCCGTCAAGAACTTCATTGAACTCAGAAACCATGTTCGAGGTTCCAATCAACCGCGAAAGCAAAGCGAAGGAATATGTGATATTATGTATATATATATACAGTATATATGTATATACACGCTTTACATCTATGTGTAGGGTTGTGTAATATGGATGTATATGGTTTTATATGACTGTATATTATACATCAATAGGCGCGTAACGACGTTGCAAGTGCATACTGCAGGGACCTTGCTAGGGAAGGGAACTGAAGGCAGCAACTTGGTGGTTCCCCCTCGACTCGTGGACTCTTGATGGACGTTTTTGGGTGCCAATTTTAGCCAATTTTCCCTCCCAGAATTGGACCACTCGAACGCCCCGAAATTTGAATTTTGAATGGATATATATATATATATATATCTATACGTATATATCTATCATCCCATGATATATATATATATATATATAATTATATAGATATGTCCGTATGTCTGTATGTCTGTATATCTGTATGTCTGTATGTCTGTATGTCTGTATGTCTGTATGTATGTATATATGTATGTATGTATGTATGTATCTAATATGTATCTATCTAATGGACAGAAATAGGGTGTCCTGTAAAAAGAAAAAAAACTTAAATTTCCATCTCTGATTTCTCCACCACCTGATGCTGTCCACGGTGGGAAGGTGCTTCGTTATGGTCCACCTGGTGCTGGCGTGGTCTTGTTGCCAAGGATATGTGGTGCAAGTTGCCACTCATTTGCAGAACATTGTTTTCACACTTTTTGAATACCGAACTCATAGTTGAAATCTGTTTGAATCAAAGTAGACCTATGTTTAGCCAACATGTTCATGAAATCCGAAAGGGCCTTGAACATCAGCTGTTTTTCTGGTTCCCCTATATTTTCTTAGAGAAAAAAGTCAAGTTATCTCTGGGGCCATGGGGGAATAGTCGTCATCCGTCCCGTGGGAGTCCTTCCAATGGCTATAGCGGCTATGGGCCGTGAATGGGTTTATAAATCCCTATCAATTGACCACCAATATTGGAATATAACACATGTGTGCCCATGTTCAGAACATGGCATAAAGTTTAGACTCTAGGACTCTAGGTCTAGGGGGCACAACTTCTTCTCTCTGCAAAATGTAGTTGCGTCATGTTACGTCCTAACATCTTGAAAATCTGGGTAAATCATGATATTTCACTAACCTGAAAATAGAAATAAAAACCTATCACGGACACGGACTCTCATTAGAATATCAAACTAATCGGCCAAACGTACCCAAACCACATCAGACAGCACCTGAAATAATGCCTCAACTGGGGATGATTCCCTGATTAACCATGATACCAGCGAGGTCACAATGAGGTCGCTATAAATTTCCCCAGATACCCTCTGGTAATTTAACAGTTTGCTATTGAAAATGGCCATTAATAGTAGATTTTCCCATTAAAAATGGTGATTTTCCATAGCTATGTTAGTTTACCAGAGGGTAAAATTCATGATAAAAAGCCTTCGGGCGAGGGGTGGCCAAGGTCTTCTTTTTCCGCGCAACGAAATCGATGCTTTACTCAGTCTCACTGGAGTCTTCATGGACCGAGCTTAAGCTCAGCAAGAGTTCTTCCTTGCTTCCCCGCGCAGCATTCCTCAGGCTTGCTTGGTCGATAATAATGGCATTTTCTGAAAAAAAAACTGCAACCTGAACTAATGTCGAATTTCCTGGATTCCTCTTGATCACCATCGAACTGGGTGTTTATTAAGATGGCACAGTGGCACCTCGCATGTGGCTGGAGGCTACTGGGATGGATAGCCGGATAGCCTTATTGGATAAGAACTCCATGTATTTCCATGTCCAGTCAGCTAAGTAGGTCACCCCAGCATGACCATTGGTTTGTGAAGAACATGTCCAAGGGAATGGCTAGTGTCTAGTGTTACTCTTTCTTAAGTGTAAGATCGGATAGGCTTCCCAACACCAAAAACACGTTTGACAAACCATACAACGATTGGGGAAATTCCATGCCATACCCACACTTTGCAAAAATAAGATATACCCTCTGGTTATTTAACATAGCCATGGAAAATCCCCATTTTTAATAGGTAAACCATCTATAAATGGACCATTTTCCATGGCTATGTTAAATAACCAGAGGGTAAAATAAGAGCAATAGTGAAAACGGTCTAACGGTCTAACGATCGTAAATTCCAGTCCGTAGACTACGTCAGTATTTAAGCATCCTGAATGAGGAATTGGTGACTGGTCCCACACGACAAACGAAAAAAACCCAGGTTGAACAACACCTTGAGCGGCCCCGGGCTTATCTTGATCCAACAAGTTTCAACCTGTTTCAATGGCCTTACTATGCCCCAAGAATCCCCAAGAAATCCCATGAAATCCGGCCATCGGGATGAACATCCCATCCAAGCCGAATCCAAGCGTCCCGAAGAGCTTGCGATGCTCAGCTTGCAGCTGTTCATCCGGCACCAAGGCCAGTTTTTCCACTTGCCGGATATCCGGCGTTTCACGTGTCCTGGCGCCCACAGGATGTTTCACTGAGTCAGGGCACATGGGGGATGAACTATACATGTGACAAACTCCCGGCTTGGTTGTGCTCTGCTTGATTTGTTCAGCCCCTTTCACTGAAGGCTAAGAATGCTAAGAAATCAGAGAAAGATATGAAAGATGGTGAGACAGCAAGAAGGACTTCTCTGGGGGTATGATTTTGAATGCCACCCACCTGACAAACTTGAGTAAATGCTGTTTTTTTCATGACAGTTTTTTTTTAAACCACATTAATGAAGACATTTCACATTTCTGCCGTAAAGAACCGAGCAGCATTGCGGTGTAGTAGATCCCTCCCAAGGGGAAGGCGTAGACAGCCAGGAATTTCACCACTATGCTGCTAGCGGCAAAGAGCGCCAAACTCGTGGTCCTTGGGGCCAACGATACATCATAACATATCATAACCCATATGCATGTATGGTGTATTTACAATTCTTTACCTACATTTGGGCGATTTTGTTCGGGCAAATGTTGGTAAATATTCCATACATGGAGCATATGGGTAGTGTTTCCATTCCACTGTTGAAAAGTCATCAACATACCCTCCGGATTATTAACGTAGCTATGGACAATGGATGAAAATGAACAATTTATATATATATATATATGTGATTATATGTGTGTGTGATAAACATGATGATGACTTAGCTTTCTTATGCAATTTTAAGTATTTGTTTCCAGCTCGCACAGCCTTAAATATTATATATATATATCCCATAAAGTGGATTATAATCCCATGGAAATCTCATTCAATCCCATTGAATGCCATGAAATGTCAAGATATGCCCAGCTACACTTCCTCCAAAAGGTGGTTGAAGCTGAAGGTGGCCAGCGTCCCCCCAGGCTGTAGCAGGAAGTGCAGCCCGTAGTCGTCCACCGTTTCCATGCCGAAGCCGCTGCGTTCACGGCTGTACTGCGTGTTGTTGGCCCAGATGGGCTTCAAAACGAAGAAGGGACGCTTCAGGAGACCACCTCAGGTGTACCCCAAATGTTGAACTGCATCATTTCTGGCAACCCCCAAACAAATGTTGAGTTTAGGCTCAAATTCCACAGATATATTGCTAAATATGGACTGGGGGCTACTATATGCTACTATAACCAAAGGCCCAGATCACTAAGTGCACCCAAGCGGCGGCCGTATTCGAAGCTGTGCACTTCCAATAGCAACATGATCACCAAACCCACATGACCTTGCAGGCGATCTCAGATCGACCCGGAAGTGAGCAGCCTCTGGTACACTTTGCGAACTGGAACTTCGCATCATCTGCAAACAGACCATTTTTCATAGATGACTAGAGGGGTATAAGATGGTATAAGTATAAGCATGAAAAAAAGATGCGGAGAGTTCTTTTTGTGCCAAAAAGTTACGGGAGATACCATCTGGTTATGACATTGCCAGTTCGCCATGGAAAATCAACACCATGCTATGAAGTTCGGTAAACCATCTATTTCGATTAGGGCCATCAACAAACCATGGCGAACTGTAACAGTCATAACCAGGCCGGGTATCAGGAAGACTGGCTGGATCCCGGGGATGTCGTGGGATCTGTAGGGCCCACACGGCCACACCATGTATTAAGGATGGTTGGTAAATGTTGATAATGGTGATTTATTATGATTAATGGTGGTTACTAACTATCATTAATAAATGGTGATGGTTACTAACCAAATTAATTATAATGATAATGGTAACTAATGGTGATTCATTATGATTTATTGTGAATAATTAATAGTGGTTGATCATGGTGAGTAATGGTTATTTTCGGCATGATGTATTGTTACTGGTTCACAGCCCCAATGTTGTTCAATCATGATGTATATATATATATATATATTTCACCATGTATCTAATAAAGTTCCCTCCCAAGGACTGGATCGCACATCACTTATGAGTAACTTAGTCTTCCCGGTTGGAGTTCTTCAAAAACTGCTAAAAACCTAAAACCATCTAAAGCCTAAATCTGGGGAAGTTACAATAATTCACTCATCTGGGGAAGTTACAAATTGGTAAAACAATACTAAAATCGTCTAATTTTGGATGATTTGAGCGTTTTAAGTGGGTAAAACATTACGCCATCTTTGTCATCCCCCAGGAAAATCACCATTCATATAGGTGGTACCCTCTGGTTATTTAACATAACCATGGAAAATTGCCCATAGAAATAGATGGTTTACCTATTAAAAATGGTGGATCTTTCCATGGCTATGTTAGTCATAACCAGATGGTAAATGGTACAAACCATTCCCAGCCATGGGCGCTTCCCAGCCATGCCATGCCACGAATGGATCGGCCCTGGTGCGCAGTGACGTCATGGTCCAGGCTGATGCCCATGGCGCGCATCAAGGTGTCGAGTCTGAAGACCTCCCGGCCATGGGATGAGTTTCACCAGGAATTCACCATGGTGAGTTGGCAAAAATGGTGGAAAATTCACTAGGAAAAAGGCTGACTTAACTAGGAAGTGCCAGGAAGAAGGGTGATTTAAGTAGGGAGGTGATTCTTGCGATTGAACTACGAGGTGTTGATTATGATTGCAGTATATACTATGATTTACTATCAACATGCTGGGTTTACCTCTCAAACATTGTGATTTTACCACCAAAAAAAACAGGTTCACTATGATTGACTTCACTTTCAAAGAACTCGTAGCCCATGATAGTATCAATTTGAATCCAATGTCGCCAAAAGTTGTTCTGGCTTAGAATGGATGTTGATATGTTTAATGTTTTGACCTATTTTAGTTTTCATTCATTGTTCGACCTAATGTAGCTTTCGTCATTGGGTTGCTTAATTGTGGGAAAATCTTAGCCCTGTGGCTATGTCAAAATAGCTATTGACCATGGCCTTGTATAGTCGATTTACTTGTTAAATATATTTAAACCATAGCTATGCTCTTTTATATGCCAAAGGGCTGATGTTTTGACGTTTTTGCTCGGGCTACAATGGAAATTTGCATCGCCATCATGCCATTTCAGTGCGTTGCAGTGGGTGGTTTTTCAAATTCTCTCCCCCTAAATCGAAAAGTGAAGGAATCTAAAATGAAAGGATAGTATTTTTTTCCCAAATGGGGATGGGTCAAAACCCTGGTACCTAGTGAACCCCAAAATAGCTGGTAAATGGATGTTCATCCCACTAAAAATGTATCTATAGGTATTGACCCATACCCATATGTTAATAAAACCCTCACCGTGTTGTCATTGATATACTATATATACTATATTAACCAGCTCGTCACCATTCCATGTATGCTACCATATTGTCAAAATCATCCCGAATTATCCTGGTTGTCGTTGATGAAATTGACCATTAAAAAAGGATATCGCCACATTCAAAAATGATGTTAATCTTATGATCCTATAAAACACCTATAAATGCAGTCACGAAATCTCACCTTGTCGAATGATGTTAACCATATATGTAATTGCAGGGATATTCGCATTACCAGTACCATGTTTTTTTGAACAAATAATTATCCACCCCCAAACAGCTCAGTATTCGCCGAGGCATGCTCAGCCTCACCTGGGTTTGTCTGAAAATATGCTGCCCCAAAATGTGATGCTTTGTCATCATTTTTCCTTCCGCGGAGGCTATATATAATTGGGTGTATACATCATTTTCAGACTTCCATATCGCCATGAAGTTTCATGTCATCATGTTGCTGATCAAAATCCAAAACATATCCCACTGATATATTCCATAGCCAAAAAATCGGGGAATTGGCCATTTTTCACTTGGCCAGCCAGCGAATGGAAGTCCCCATGCCCAGCCAGCCTCGTTGTTGTTGATGGTGAAATCCGCCGAAATATAGCAAGGCGCCTTGGTGACCTTGCCCCGCCCCTGCCCCGAAGGGTGGAGGAAGGCCTCATGGCGCAGCCCGCGCTCGCGGCACAAGGCGTGCTGCACATCGTTCACCACGTGGCCCTGGCTGAAGGCACCGACCTAGGCGCAACGTCACGGCAGGGGTCGAAATTTCTGGGAAATTTGGGGGAAATCAGGTTTATGATGGTATATGTATATATAGATATAATGATATAATGGTAATGGAATATTAATGGGATAATAGTCTGGACTAATCATGAATGGAATTATATATATATAGGGGTTGATACTCTCTGGTAGTCAAACATAGCAATGGAAAAAACATGATTTTCTCAGCTAGACACTTCCATTGATAGGGGAGCTTCCATTGCCATGTTTCATTATCACAGGGTATCTCTCAGAACGTTGTTTTTAAAGATCGACATATGATAGATGTGTAATTGGGTATATGGGGGCTACATATACTGTGTAGACATAAGAAAGAAAGAAAGAAATAAAGAAAGAAAGAAAGATAGAATGATAGAAAGAAAGAAAGAAATGTTTATAGATATATCTATAATGGAGATACGATGGGCTGCCAATTTTCTGGACATGGAGGAATTTCATAGCCCAGGGGACGGTCAATCATATGCTGGTATAGTGTAGCCTCATGATGGGGAAATCAGATTTCAACGCCTAATAATGTTGAAACCATCCCCAATTTCCGCAATGTCCCAACAATTTTACCATGGATATTCAACACTAGGAGGATCGGCTGAAGTAGATTAGTCATATGGCTATGGATCAATACCTATAAATAGCAACTTCAGTTTCATTAACATCCATAAATCCCAGCTATTTTCATGTTCACCAGGGTACAAGGTTTTGACCCATCCCCATATAACCTCCACCACAAGGTCAGCCTCCCCGAACTGCCGAACTGAGCCACTGCAAGGTGGCCCACCATCCTATGTCCAGGCATGATTGATGGCTGATGATGTGGATCCTTCACCGGTTGGTCCGGACCATCCCCAGCACCAAACAGCCCAACAGCCTTTCTGTCAATGGGTTGGATGTTGTGAAAAAGCTAGAGGAACACATGAAAAAGGGGCCTGCCATTCCTCGTAGAAATCGACCCAGAAACCAATTCTGGGATATGGTGCGGTTAAAAAACACACACATCATATGATATCTGTATTATAATTACCCCCTGGTTATTTAACATAGCCATGGAAAATCACCATTTTTAATAGGTAAACCATCTATAAATTGGCCATTTCCCATGGCTATGTTAAATGGCCAGAGGGTAACCATATTGTTTGTTGTTAAACATGTGAGTCACTTAATGATCAAATCACGAGCCATCATGGGGCACTTCATGCCAATTCGAATGTTTCAGACGTTTAAGTCACGATTAAAGTTTGGTGACCTCAAATTGCCAATCAGATCCCTGTAATGATCATGAAATCATGATCACAAGTCCTTTTGGATTCTGATATTTCTTTGCTTGGGCCAAAACAAAGCAATACACTGTTAAACAAATAGAAATGCCATGAAATGCCATGTCCCCCCTCTAAAAATAGTAAAAGGTCCTAAAAAGTGAAATCAATTGAAGCTTGTGCGCATCTTTTTGTTGTTCCCAGGGGTTTCCGTCCTTGGTGATGCTGTACACGGTGGGCTCCACCAACAATGTGAAGTTTTCGATGTCCTCGGTTCCAATCATTGACCTGACATGACCTGACATATCCTGAGATGGGGGACACTTGCGGTGCAAATACTGCGGCATTTTTGGGGGCTTACAAGGCTTACAGTACGACAACAATTTGGTGACTTCAAGCATGTTCAAGAGACATGGACCAAATGGAACACTAAGATCACCATAGAACACCAACAGTAACGGGTTTGTCGTTTTTCTGGGGTTCCGACACCGTTTGCCAAGCGGCCCACCCATTCGCAATTTGCACGGGATCAATCATGTACTGACTATGACAGGCTAGCCTGTGATTGTCCAGTAAAAAGAGGTGCCGTTTTTAGCATCTACTCAGTCGACTAATATGGCTGGAAGTCCATGTTTGGTTTGGAACTTTGTGGCGGGTAACTCCCAGGATCCCCATCGTTGGTTGGGATAACCATCCGAATCCATAGAGAAAACCATCATCAAGTCCATCAAGTCCCATGAAAACTGCCATTTGGTTTTAATCCCATCGTTTAACACCAGAAAAGCCCCATGATTTCCATTGATTTCCCATCAAAATCATTAGGGATGACCCCAGCCCATTGGAGTTGAAGCAGCGGCCACATAGTGATCCGAAATCACGCCACCTGGTCACACTGGGTTGAAATCTCCCCCATGACTTGTTGTGGAAGTGATTAATATTGATTAACATCATTAATACCACTAATGTCAAAAATGATTGACCTATAATATTGATTATAGCTATGGTGTCGTGATTCTTACTAACATTTACTAACATTTACTAACCATGGTTTTACCATGGTTTTACCATGGTTTTACGGGTTTTACCATGGTTTTACCATGGTTTTACCATGGTTTTACCATGGTTTTACCATGGTTTTACGGGTTTTACCATGGTTTTACCATGGTTTTACCATGGTTTTACCATGTTTTCCCCTCAAAATAACCCCAAGCACTGCGGCCCGGCCCAAGCCAAGCCTTCCCCCTTGATCTTGCGACGCGTCACCACCGTCATGGCCTCCTCGTGCACCTGGAAAGATCTGGCCCGACAGGGGGGAAAAGAAACGGGAGTTTTTTGTGTCAAACAAAAGCAACAAAAAGAGTGCAATTATATAATATTATATACCTGGTTTCATGAATTTGGTCTCCGTTTGCTTGTTCTATGATTTAAAATGATTTAAATATGGAGGTTTCCTAAAACGGGGGTACCCCTAAATCATCAGTTTTAATAGGATTTTCCATTATTAAACCATCAATTGATGGGTACCCCCATAATGTTTAAATAATATGTTTTTTTCCACCCGGGGACTTCGCCTGCTGATTTCTTGGTGACCAGTGGTATTTCTTCGGCCATGACACGTGGAGCACGGAAGGACCCGAAAAGACTTCGCAACGCAAAGTCGTTGGAGGACAAACTCCGCTGGTATGACCTGGATGGCCAGGTACGGCAGAACCAGTTTTTTATTGGAGGCAACTACCATGGTAACTACCACATGGTTAATGGATGGTTAATGGTGGTTAATGGATGGTTAATGGATGGTTAATTGGAGGTAACTAGCACATGTTACCATATAAGACCTATATGTAATTTTCAGGGATATGTTCCGGGGATATACTCCCCAAATCTGGCGTTTTTTAAATGGTACAGTAGCCTCATTTCAGGGTCCATAAAAATTCCTATTGAGGCTATGCGGCTATGCTGAGGATCGGCCCTTCGGATCCCTTGGGCCCATCTTACAGCACCATATATGATATATGTATACCCATAGGATCCATGGTGCTGCTATATATGCCAACATTGGGGGTATATTGATGGTAAATGTTACCATATATACCATACATGGATCCTATGGGATATGATATATGTATATATAATATAGATTGATATCTGTATCCTCGAAAAAGCACAATGCTCATTTGAGAGATGTCTGCTTTCTGAGCGGTTTTTCGCCACATGAGCGTAATTGCATGTAATTCCACCACTTTTCGCATGTTTGCACTTTGTGCATGTTGAAGCCGAAATTATGAGCGGTTTTTTCCCGGGAAATAAGTAAATACCCGGGAAAATAACATAAATACCCGTCCGTCAAGAAACAAATGCGCATTGTCTAGTTCAAGTGAGCATAAAAAGTCAGAACGAGCGTAAATCCAAGCGAAAACTGCTGCACAAAAAAGTGCGAATGGTGAAGATCCAGGTATAGAGAACTGGAAAAGCATCGTATTTTAAGGGAAAATCTATCATCATCAATGGGCCATGGCTTCGCAAACTAACCCGAGGGCAGTGCCCATTGAGGCGGCCGACAAGGAAGTCCCATGGAATCAGAGAACTCTTGGGAAACAAAACATGGGACTGTTCCCATTAATTATACGATGCTTTACCTACAAAACATGGTGATTTTCATAGGATTCCTTAGGTATATCACGGATTATATCACACACACATATATATATATATATCGTTTATATATCCATAATAATTATATACATATATATATAATTATCATTAATTATCCACACACACATATATTTATATATATCATTTATATATCCATAATAATTATATATAATTATTATTTATTATCCACACACACACATATATATATATACCCTCTGGTAAACTAACATAACTATGGAAAACCACCATTTTTAATGGGGAACTCAACTCTTTCTATGGCCGCTATCAATAGCTAAGTGTTAGTTGACCAAGTGGCAGCAATACGACAAGTCTTTGAATGCCGTCAAGTTGGCCTCAAGGTCTGGGACTGTCTGGGACTAAGGTCTGGGACCTGGTGGTTTTTGGTGAACTTTGGAGAACTGAGGCCTGACATGGCGTGGTTTTTTGGTACTGAAAAAATTCTTCGACCTGACTTGTTTCAATAATGGACCAAAATATCAACATCATTCAAGGTCTTTATCTTGGGAAACGTCCTATAAACGCCCTTTTAAAACTGCACCAAGGTGTCGGTTAGTTGGGCTTTTTGTGGTTGATACCGCGGACAGCCCGGACTCTTTCGCTTCAGAATTGTCGCTCGACAATCCAACTGGGTTAGCCCACCGGAGCTCGCAAGGTCGCTCGCATACTTAGCTCCACATCTGGTTTCAGGAGGTACCCGCAATGGTAGAAGATCTGATACACTGCGACCTGGGCCGTGACCGCTGTCAGATGCTGTCAGGCTGGTGGGTTACGTGCTTTGAACACAAGGGAAACCACACTGGAACCGGGGAACAGAATCTGTACTCTCTGTTCATGGCAATGGAGTATGCCCCATTTACAGATGTTTTTCATTGGCTGTGTTGGGATGACAAGAACGATAGCAAACTGAAGGTAAAATCTTTCACAGCTTGACACCTCGAAAATATCTCAGTAAGATATAGTAAGATAATATATCATCTAAATTCATCTACATTCATCCGCAACATCCCGGGATGTCTCTCTGATCTGTCTTTTTGGGGACCCATTTTTAGGTGGAAGAATCAGGGGTTTTCTCCGTTGCAACTTGCACCCGGCGTTAGCAACCTCGACGTGGCTGCCAACAGAAATTGGGGTCTCGATAAACACATCAAGATCAAGACCTTTCATCGTATCTTCTAGCCGGCTGAAATGCCTTGAAAAGCAGTATACAAACATCACAACCTTGAGATTCTGTGAGTATACCCTCTGGTAAACAAAGATAGCTATGGAAAATCACCATTTTTAGAGGGTAAATCAACTATAAATGGCCATTTTCAATAGCAAACTGTTAAATTACCAGAGTTTTTCAGCCAGTAATACAGACCTGCTCCCAGTTCTTCGATGTTCTCCAACCTCCAGATATCTCCAAATATCTCCAAATATCTCCAGATCCAAGAGGCATAGAGAAAAATCATAAACATCAAACAATAGTTCAGGCATCCCAGGCCTCACCAAAGGCGAATTTCAAGGCCATCGAAATCATGGCGGCCATTGAGGGAAAGTTGATGAAGTCCCCGGAGTAAAAAAGTGCCATAAGTAATTACCATTAATAGACATATTATTAAACGATATTAAATGTTCATTCTAAATCAACTATCTCACTATTTAAAAAAAACATATACGCAAAGGAAATCAATTCTGCACTCCGTCCTGCAAATCAACTGTTGATTCAACGTAAGGGAGACAGGTGATCTTGGAGAAACGGTTGGGAACAAAAATTGCCCAGCTGCCTATGAGAAGCATCAAGTGGCCATTCAGATTTGTTTTTTTCCCCTTGAAGTCAGACATGGGCCCAACTGTTGGCAGTCTTCCCTTGCATCACTTGTTTCCCAACAGTCCTACAGTCCTACATACTTTGAAACACTTTGAAAACATGGGGCAACAAAAATTGAATCAACCAATCAGCAGCCAAGGGATCCAAGGGGCGATAGTCTTTGATCACAGCCTGCACTGGAACCGTGTATGGGAAGTGCTCATTGACGTTGACGCCGCAAAGCTTCCCGTTCGCAGCGCCCATCTTCCGCACGATGTTGTCGTGAGAGGTGGAGAACCAAAACTCGACACAGCAGTTGAGGGATCATCCCACTGAATGCAACTGGTTCTTTAAAATGTTATAAAAGGGTAGGTTCATGAGGTTACATCAGGTAACTCACATGTTATAACCCACATAACCCACACAAAAATGAGGTTACATCAGGTTATAACCCAGGTCACTCACATGTGAACAAATGGGATGTTTAATTGTTGGATAACTCAGTGGTCAACCTGGTAGAACTTAAGTCCATCTGCAAGGTCTGGAAATCTGTGAAAAAATTGGCTTCAATTAATTTTCTCCCATGAAAATGAACATAGATTTGATGGGAAAAGTCAAGGACCTTGACCTTCATGTTGTTCCGAACAAAGCCTGATTTCTCAATCTGATATGCAGCTTCACCGCTCAGAATTTTTATTTGTTTCGAATAAATAGTCGAGCCAAGACGGCTGAAAAAAGACTGGAGCTTCATGGCTTCGGAGAGTGAGGTTCAAGGCCTTAAGCATGGCTCGCGAAAAAAACTGGAGGATGGAATGGATTTAAACAGGCCATCTGATAACGGGGGATCAGTGGCTAGTCACTGGTTTTTTGCATGTACCCTCTGGTAAATTAACATAGACCCTGGCAGTCATCCGGGTTGGAAGACTAGTTTCCATTAAAAATTGTTGATTTTCCGGGCCTATGTTAATTTACTGGAGGGTACTTGTCATGGTGTGTTGTAATGATTTGGCACGTTTTTTTTGTTTAAAAAGCACGGCTCAAAAAGGAACCTTCCGATCTGACAGCTTCTGAAAACCGTCAGCTTCTGAAAGCTGACGGAGAAGCTATGAAACTGCCATGTGTGATGAGATTGGTCACTGTGGATTTTGATCTGCAACCAACAATTTCCATCTTTACTCTGATATACTGTGGTCATTTCTTCTCTTTTTCAACGAACGAATTCCAACTTCCACCTGAAATCACGTGGGTTCCAATATGCTTCAATGACTTGGATGTTCATTGGGGTACCCTCTGGTAATTTAACATAACTATGGAAAATCACCATTTATAGTGAGTTTTCCCATGAAAAATGGTGATTTTCCATAGCTATGTTAGTTTACCAGAGGGTACCTCCATTTTCGGACACCTCCACATGTTCATCATGGTCATCCTTGTGAAAATCCCTTCCCCCTGACATCCCCTGACATCCCAACACCAGCTGCACCATGCTTGCGTAGGGGATTCCCATACGTCTGGGGTATTTACCCTCCAGTAAAGTAACATAGACCCTGCCAGATAGGTTGGAAGATTAGTTTCCATTAAAAAATTGTTATTTTCAGGGTCCAACTGTTAATTTACCAGATAACTGTAGGGGGATGGGATGACTCATGATGAATCCCATGAGAGCTGAAATCAGACCAGCTGCACCTCCGCCAGCTCGCCATTCAAACCATTCTGCGACTCCATCGCCTGGTCATCTGGAGAAAGGTACCATCGATTGAACGTGGCTGGGAAATCCTGAAACATGGAGAGGTTTTTCATTGGAAACTCATGGAACCAAATGGAGGATTCTCCAATTGCAATGTTTGATTAGCTTTTAGGGTATATCAAAACTTATGATGGTTTTTGTTGATTCCGTGCCCAGTTCGGGGTTTACCGAGCTTTCAGGTGATTATGTGAAATAAATCAATTGTATACTGGTCTAAGCATAGCTCTAAGCATAGGTCTAAGCATCCATCCAGAAAAAAAGGGGCTTCAATGACATCAGAATCAATGCCTTGTATATTTGTACACCCCCCAAATGAACCGTTTTTTTCAATGGGATCCGGGGTTGGCAGATCAAGATTTGCGAACCAAACTCCCATCCCCCGTTCCACCATGGTTTCGTTCAGGGGATGGGATTCATCTAGGGAATGGTCAACTTCCCAGTTCGGGATCTTCAGCATCACAAAGGGGGTAGTTTTTGGGGGCCATAGCTTCCTGTCTGCAAACTGTTAACCAGAAGGTAGATCCCATTGAGTGGACTATCATCTCATTAAACCCCCACATCATCATCCCATTAAATTCCAATAGATCTCCCTTTTTCAAATCATGTGTGAATCCCCATATTCCCCATATTCCCCATCGAATTTCCAGTTTTGATGTGTGAATCCCCATTGAATCCCCATGAATTCATTCCCATGAAATTCCCAATATATCTGTGAATTATCATGAAAATCACCATTTTTCATGGGAAAATCCACTATAAATGGTCATGTTCAATAGCTATGTTAAATTACCAGAGGGTAACTCAAAAGCCCCCCAGTTTCGCCTTCAGTTGTCGCTCCAGCTGATCCACCCGTTCTTCCAGCTCTTCCACCTGGAGAAGATAAACATTTTTCGGGGAGAAGTTGAAGCCCTCAGGCTGCACCAAACAACTGTGGATTCCACCAAAAGATGGAGCGAAACCCTCTGGCACTACAGTTTGGGAACTGGAAACAGCTAGATTAGGTTACCAAAGGGTAATATCACTTGATCTCATCACTTGAAGTGCAAACTTATGTGCATAAACACGTGCGTTATTAAATAAGTCACATCAGAAATTACATTTAATTGTATATATTTTGTTGGGGGTCCAATCCCATTCACGATAATGTCATGAGTCATGTCATAGCCTCCGGTAACTTAACCATAGTTCATCAAATGAGTTGCATTCAGCTACTAGTCATAGATATTGTGAGTTGCCATTAGTAATAATGCCATGAGTCACCACGCTCTGGTAAATGTCACATAGCTGTGAAAAATAGTCCATTTATAGATCATTCGAATCATTTGCCTCTCAAAAAATGGTGGGTTTTTCCATATCGATGTCAAATTACCGGAGGCTATATCATGCTATATCATATATTATTATCATATTATCCCATGAAGTGGATTATAATCCCATGAAAAAATCCATTCAAATCCCATTTTTTACCCCAGTAGATGATCGGATCCCAGGGGTCCCGGTCAGGTTCCGGTCAGGTCCACCCGGCCACCCCCCCCCACCTTGGCATTGCTCGAAACGCGCAAGGACTGCTCCACCTGCACCGGTGCTTGTGGATCCACATGTGGAAACTCTGGATTTTAGCAATGGGGCTGGAGAACCCAGCAACAAATCTGGTGAAAAATTGTAGTCTGAAGTTGATGTAACTTGATTTTATGAGTTCACCATACAGTGAATGGTTGCGAAATCCGAATCACCAGGTTTTTTTTTAATCGCTGGTTAGTCCCACTATTTATAGGGTTTCAACATGTTTCAACCATCCTTACTTGGTGGTGCAGGATTTCGCAACCATCCACAGTATGTCACCTTGAAAGATCTCGTGTTTCGATGTTGATCTGTTGGACCATGGCGAACCTGTGAAAGCCGATGGGTCAAATCGTCCAAAAGACTCCACCTAGAGAGGGCTTGGAATGGACGACACGACACGACCAGGTTTTAGATGGTTCTATCGGCTTGGAATGGATGAATTATATTAATATATATATATATATTAATACATGCTTCTATGTGCTTTTATAATGTCTTATATATATATATATGGTTTTATGATGTTTTATTGGGATGCATATGATTTTATATGCATCTGGAACAATCTGAGGATTCGTGGAAATTCCATCTATGGGGCCTGTGAAGTCTCCGGGATTCCCGTTAGTGAATTTCGATGATGTCGAAAGGCTGCCGCGGAACCGAAACCCCGCCATGGCTTTTTAACGGAGCCGAGGGGGATGCAAATCATAAATATATAATGTTATGGTATTTTAATGGGACATAAATGGACATAATGGGATTTTATGGAATTTTAATGGGATTTAATGGGATATATGTTGGTTACCCTCTGGTAAACATACAACAAACGATGGAAAGATCCACCATTTTTAATGGGTAAATCAACTATTTCTATGGCCATTTTCAATAGCAAACTGTTTGTTTACCAGAGGGTAACCAGCCAACACAATTTGTTAACCAACCAGCACCTGGTTGGTGGTTTCAACCATCTTCAAAAATATGAGTTCGTCAATGATTGGGAAGGATTATCCCATATATGAAATGGAAAATAAAAAATGTTTGAAACCACCAACCAGCAATTGTCTTCCATTCCATATATGTCAACCAACCAACACGATTGTTTTCCATTCTGCCATCTTCCATTTTCTGCAGAAAACTTGCTGGGGCCCAATCATCTTCCATTCCAAAAATCTGGGTGCATGACTTGGCCCGCATCTCCTCGGTGAGTTTCTCGACCTGGGGATGTAACAACATGTAACAACCCAATATGAGATCGCACATCCAAACATGTATAAGTTACATTAAGTTACTGTATAAATCTACACTTAAAAAAACAAAAACATATAATCAACTCACCATCAAGCGTTGGCACAAACATCTCCATTTGTCCGAAAATGCGTCAATCCCTGTAAACATAAAAAAAAACCGCAATGAGTTATCTTCATTTGCCCCTAAGAACCAAGGGTTTATCCTAATCCCGCCGAACATCCGTTGGCTCAGCATCTTTCATCCCTCATCCCTGTGAACATTGCCGTAAATTGGAGGTAATCCACATAGAAATTGCAAGTTTTTTTGGATTTTACATGAATTTTAGATGATTTTACCATCACTTTCCCTGTTCAAAATTCCTTTACTTTATAAACCACGTGCAAATGGTCCCATATGTTCATATATGTTCCCTCTCAAATTGCCATCAAAATGACCGTTTCTTCACCATGTCCCAGCATTTTTTATCATTGTTCCATAGTTTTCTCATGTTTCTGTAGCTTTTTCCATAGTTTTCCCATAGTTTTGTAAGGTTTTCTCAACCCAAAAAGAAACGCGAACGCAACCCAGACCTTTGGGCCCCAACGCTGGCGGCCAGTCGTTCCATGTCAGTGCCAGGAGACTGCCAGGTGACCTGGCAGCTGTCTCTCTCAACCATTTTTCTATATTTTTCTGGGTGCCCTCTGGTAATTTAACGTAGCTATTGAAAATCACCATTTATAGTGGATTTTCCCATTGAAAATGGTGATTTTCCATAGCTATGTTAGTTTACCAGAGGGTATCTTTACCATTTTTCATGAATGGTTTATGGGTAAACATGGCACATCAGGGCATCATGGCACATTTGTTTGTAAAGGTATGGAGGAATGGTAAATCATAATCATTTATGGTGATGACTGATAATAGTTAGCTAAGTTGGTGAACATAACTCCAATTTCACTATGGTTTATGGTAGATATATTGACATATACTTACCCAGGTTTATAAACCATCTTATAACTGGGGGGCACCACCTTGTATATATTTACGGTGATGACTGGGGGATGGTGCAGATGACATTGTTTTACCCACATTAGTGTTGTGACACGGCTTACAGGCAACTTCTATAAAACGATAGAAAATAAATTGAACTAAAAAAAGCGAAAACCAATCCAAAAAAAAAGCAAAACCCAATCCAAACCTCAATTAGAAAAAAGCAAAAAAAATGCAAAAAAAAAGCAAACTCCAATCCAAACCTCAATTAGAAAAAAGCAAAAAAAAATAAAAAAAAGCAAAAAAAAAGCAAAACCAAAAGCAAAAAAAATGCAAACAAAAAGCAAACTATTTGTGTTCACTGTTTTTCGCTTTTTTTTCGTTTTTTTTTCGCTTTGTTTTCGCTTTTTTTTCCCTTTTTTTTCCGTTTTTTTTCACTTGTTTTTCACTTTTTTTTCGTTTTTTTTTCGCATTTTTTTTGTTTTTTTTCCACGAGTTTCTTACATTTTCGAAGGTCCCGGTCATCAGGTCACCTGAGAAAGAAAAAAAACGAAAAAAAATGCGAAAACAAAGGCGGAAAAAAAAGCAAAAAAAAAGCAAAAACAAAGCAAAAAAAAAGTGAAAACAAATAGTTTGCTTTTTTTTGCTTTTGGTTTTGCTTTTTTTTTGCTTTTTTCTATTTGAGGTTTGGATTGGAGTTTGCTCTCTTTTTTTTGCATTTTTTTTGCTTTTTTCTAATTGAGGTTTGGATTGGGTTTTGCTTTTTTTTGGATCAGTTTTCGCTTTTTTTATTTGTTTAAAATTCTTTAGAAGTAGGCTGAAGGCATTTCACAACATTAGTGGTGATTTACGGTGATTTATGGTTTGATTTATGATGATTTATATTGATGTTGGCATTGGTTGAGGAAGTTGGTTTAGATTTAATTCAGTTCAGTATCACAGTATCACTATGGTTTCGGATATAACGAGAGACCAGAGTTAATGGATGATCAGGTGTAGACATGTGCAAACATCCACATTTTTTATTGGGGGGGTCGCCTTGTAGATTCCCCCGCCATTCCATCATGTTCCCATCATCATTTCCATCTATTTTGGCAATTAAAAACATGGATGGATTCTTATGAATTCCCCTTGGTTGTGTTAGATAGTGTCAACCACAGGTAAAGGTGAATTACTTGGATGTTGCTTGTTGGAGGGCAGCATTTTAACAACTTTTAATTTTATTTTAGCAAACGAAAGCACTGCTTGGGGGTGACCCTTGATCCTCAATCCCGCGGGCCAGCAGGGTTAACAGCTGGCCCTTGAAGGCCAGCTGAATATGGCGTCGGATTATGTCGGATTGCCACCCTTTTCTCTTCTTTTCTCCCGCTGAGGTGAAGTTTTCTGCAAGGTCCTTCACCATCGTTCACCCAGGTGAGAGTGTCGTGCGGGAGCGTGGGAGCGCGGGTGTAAAACCAAGTCACGCCAGGAATGGGCCTGAAATGATCACTGTCTGACTGTGCCTGAAATTGACACACACAGCGGTCAAATCTCGCCCTGCCGGCAGCAAATCCGGTCCGCTCCTGACCGTTTTCGATCAGCCCTCCATAGCACGAAGACCGTGGTTGATCCTTCCTCTGTCCACAACTCAGCAGTTGAGTAACACTGAACTGTAAAACTGAACCGCTGAGCAGCAGACTCTGGACTTCGTCGTTGGACCCTTTGCACGTCCAGTTTTTCCAGCTTCACTTAAGCCATTAGTTGCTTCAACATTCAATTCATGTTGAAGCAACAAATGGCCTGTTTTTTGCTGCAAAAACATGGCATATCTGGGCATTCCCTAGCCGAACTTACCATGCCATGGTAACATCATGGTAACTACTGCTCCAACCGGTCAGCCACTCGCGGGATCAACTTTGGACCATGGCGATTCCCTAGGCCAAAGTGGTGGATTTCCCACGGGAATAAGAAATAGACGCATCGAAAAGTCCCCATCTCAGCAAACTCTATCAGATATATCACATGGTTGTTTATGCCTTGTTTATCTACGAAGTTTATTTTCCCAATTACATCCCCTATTTTTTTTCCCCATTCGTCCAAAGGATTCCCCACCAGGTGAAAAGAGGCCAGGACTCTGAAGCAAATCATTGATCTCCCCACTTTCCCTCGGTCTCTTTCGGTATCTTTCCAAGGCTTACACGAATAGGAAAACATGTACCATCTGGTTATTTAACATAGCCATGGAAAATCACAATTTTTAATAGGTAAACCATCTATAAATGGGCCATTTTCCATGGCTATGTTAAATAACCAGATGGTAGAAAAACAAGAAAACCATACAACAAATCTGACTCTGCTTTTGACAACTCCTTTGCCCCACCTGAGGCTTGGAGGCAGCGCCACGTGTGTCACGCTGAGCATCCTGGTGTCCCAACTGTTGGAACATCTCCCGTCCCCACGTCCTTTCAGGAACATCGAGGGGTCAGTTTGGTCTACCGCCATTTGCCCAGAAGGGTCTTTCCTATGTTTTTCTTACTTCTGCTTAGTAGGGAATTTTCGGGAATGATCCACTGGCTAACTATCATTTTTATCATCCCAGCAACCCCCAGCAACCCATCCATTCCCTACGTTTAGCACCAGTACCCTCTGGTAAACTAACATAACTATGGAAAATCACAATTTTTAATGGGAAAATCCACTATAAATGGGCATTTTCAATAGCTATGTTAAATTACAAGAGGGTATCTATGGATGCTTACCTCACCGTGGCAACTCATTCCGGACGCCTGAGATTCAAAGGCAGGCCAGGCAGCAGAGGCTGCGACCGGGCTGGGAGCCTTGTCGAGAGGGGATGAATTCACGTGCAGCATTTGGACCATGGGGCTGTTGAATATGAACGAGGATGGGACTAACATACATCCCATTCTAGAAGAGATAAGCAGATACATATATGTTTATTTATATATAGGTATAAAAATATATATATATATATAATTATATATATAATTATTAATATCACATAATATATATATATATATATATCTATTTATTTATTCGTGTATATATGTATATATACGTATATAACTATATATATATACATATATGTGTGTATCATTTTATTTTTTTAGCATGAACTAAGTTCTCAAGACTTCACCATAGGTCGTTCCCTGTCTGCCCTGACCAGCTCCACAGTGGCAGGCCATTGGTGATCAGCCTGCGCTGGTGATAGGCTGGGGTGATTGATTACCCTTTGGTTATTTAATAATAGGTAATCATACCCTCTGGTAGTTTAATAGTGATTACTAGCTATTTTGGGATATAGGTTGGATAATTTTCTGATTTTCCAACCAAAAAATGGTGATTTAATGGAATTTAACCACTATAGACGGTGATTTAGTGGAGATTTACCCTCTGGTAAACTAACAGCTTGCCATGGAAAACCATCACTTTTTTAATAGGTACATCATCTATTTCTATGGCTCATGGCTTCCATAGCTATGTAACAAATAACCATTTAGGTTACTTTTCGGTCCTAAGGTCCTAATCCCAGAAGAAAGCCAAAAACCCAAGACATCCCAAGACTCATCAATCAATCAATATCAATGTACAAATTGGAGCTGAAAAAATAGTTTTTTTTTTTTTTAAATATCAACATCAACAATCAATCTCAATCATCATCTTTGGAGCTGAAAAAATCTGAAACAATCTCCATGTCCAGTGCAGATTCTTTCTGCAGGTTGGCACCTCTGATGACCAAGTTGCCTCCGCCTAAAAATATCGAACAATCTCAGGAAAACCACGAGGAATACTGTATATTCTTTAGACCATTTATTGAGAACACACACACAAATATTCACATAATCACATATATGTATAATTTGTATCATTCCATAGCAACCCCCAAAAGATAAACAAGTTGGATACCTGGAATTTATGCAGGACACATCCAGATGTGTCCTAAGGATGTGTCCTAAGGATGTTTCCAAGGGTGGTCTTCATTAAGATGCTAACCTGGTTCTCTTTACCTTTGTTTCATTGCCAATTGGACACATCCACGATTTTCCACATTAAGATTAATCACATTAATTGCACAAGTTTCCACTATTTTTCCACTAGTTTCCACTATTTTCCACTAGTTTCCACTATTTTCCACTATTTTCCTTTGTTTCATTCCCAATTTTCAGGACGGTCACATGTGAAATCACAGCCACATCAACCACATCCTTTTCGGAAACGGAAACGGCGCTGACCTTGGGAGATCCCATCCACAACTTCCCAGCCTGCCAGGTACTGGAAGTAGCCTGGCACTGGTGGTTGGAAGACCTCCTAAAAAAAAAAAAAACATGATCAATGTTATGTAATGACATTTTATTGTTGAAGCTCTATTTTTATGTTAATGATGACATTTAATTTTAAATCACTTGATGAAGCTCTGGAAATGAATTCAACATGGCTTAAGGTGAGCAAATCCTGGAAAAAAAAACGATCTGATTTTCCTATTGATTAAAACCTTCCAATTGTAGAGGATTGCCCAACCATGTTTGACGAAAATCGGGCGCACCTGACCAAAGGGTAGGACATGCTGACACCATGTCCAGAGGGGAGGTTGACCCTATAACGAAGAGAATTACAATTCCAACCTCCAATGGGGTTGCACTCTGTTCAACAGTAGACTTTAATGTCTATCAATGTCTATCACATCACAACGTGTCAAAATCTCATATGGACATGGGGTTACCATCCAATCATAATTGTCCAGCAAATGAGTATAGCAATGGAAAATGCAGCTCCGATATTTGATGTTTCCCACTGGCTGAAGGAAGCTGGACATTCACAGGTGAATGTTCCCATCAAATGGCACAGAATTCATGGTGCTTTCCACATTTTTTTGGGATTCCCCAATAGCTAGCTGGATGGTTTAGAATGGGAAAGCTTACTAAAATGGATGATGAACTGGGGTACCCCCATGGATTGGAAACCTCCATATTGATCCATATTGTTTCCACGAAGTTTCCACCTAAGAATGACAGCCTGCTGATTGCTCACATCTTCGGACGTCATTTGGCTGGGCCTTACCTGGCAAAGGATCTGGGAACTGATATCTAAATGAACGTTTTTGTTTGTGAAACCTCCATGCGACTCACATGAAATCCAAGCCTAGAACATTTATGTCAATGTGATTTTTAAACTCATGTTAGCGTCTTAAGAATCGAATCCCAAGTTCACCTGAACCTGTTAGTTTCTGCTCAGAGTTCTTTTAAATCCTTCAACACAGGTTAAAAAAACATGGCAATGTATGGCAATGGTGTGTGATGCTCACAATGGCAAACAGGATCCGCTGATTGAAACTTTGAAACACAACCAAAACAACGGGTGATGACCGCACTTTTGTTTCTGACTTCAACTTGCATGATGATATCGCGATAGCACATAACATGTATAATACATATATATATATACAGTATATATATGTATATATATATATATATGTGTGTTTGTGTTGGCACAAAGAGAGGTTCCGACTACAATTTCAGACATGATATTCATGACAATTGACCAGATTACCCTCTGGCAATGAAACATGGCAATGGAAAATCCACCAATTTGGATGATATCGTGTCATTACCAGAGGGTATCTTAAATCATATCATAACTTATAGAACAACTATCTATATATACACAATCAAATCATATACATATCATATACATATCATATACATATCATATAGAATATATATACATGCATATTACATACACAACTATGATATATAGACTATAGATCTATTGCAGTTATTGCCACATTCGAGCTTCTCCCAAGGCTTCAAACATGGCCAAGTTCCCTCACCCACGAGGTTTCGCCTCCAGTTGCTCCGCTTCGCTGGCAACGGAACTGGCAACCTGACGATGCGGTGGCAACCCAAGTTTTCAGATACCCTCTGGTGAACTAACATAGCAATGGAAAATGGCCATTTATAGTGGATTTTCCCATGAAAAATGGTGATTTTCCATTGCTATGTTAGTTCACCAGAGGGTAGAGAGTAGAACATCAAATTGAAAATGGATAATTAAATGCTCAAAAAGTGAACCTTTGTAATCTTTCTTATGGGCTTACTATATATCTATCGTTTGTGTCTTTGCTGTTTCAACTGATCTGCGTGTTTAAAATCTTGACCATCCAAGTCCTCCTGCCTGGGAAGACCGGGAAAAAATATACCAGGAAGATTTTCCCGACAGTTTCAGACCGATCAACACTTACAATGAGACCAAACATGGCACTCGACTCTACATCACCAATATATTGGAGTGCCAACATATTTAAGTTACAATATTAGTTTACAGAACCTGATATGTGTGCCAGCAATTGGTTACATAAAGTGATATTGATGTTACTGTGACTCCAATATATATATAATTATATATATTATATATATATACATGAGACTCTTATAACCTAACATATTACATGTAGATATTATGGTCACTGCTTACAACTTGGTGAGCATCGCATCGAGTACTTGCAATTCATGGTGCAGCAAGTCCCATTCACCACCTCTCAAGAATCTTGAGATTAAAACATCATCACCATCACAATCACTACACTCACCACGTGGCTGTTGCTTACGATATATATATATATATATACATATACTTAAATAAAATTAATGTATTATATATATATATATTTGATATATGTAACAAATTAATGATAATGATCCAAACTGTGTCCTGCTTTTTCTGACTCATTCGCATCCCAACACGGCTTTCACTTTTTCATCGTGTTCCTCCTTTCTGCTTCCCTCTTGAACACCGCTTTGAGCTTGAAAAGTGCAGAGCTATACTAATGCGATAAACCAAGCATTGAACACCTTTGTGTGATTTTTCATAGCCCCCAAATGCTAGGTCATTGGGTTATTTGGAAATTGTTTACCAGTATTCATGTGGCAAATGCAAGAATAACACATCCCCAATTTTGCATAATTTCATATACTTGTGCAAGAAACTGGTAGTATACAGTATACAACATCCAAAATTGTAGGTATCAGCATCGGGTTTACCACATTTTTGGGTTTGACACACTAGTTAGGCTGAATATCACCTATTTACAGATCATCCCAGAATCTTCCCATTAAAACAAAAAACAACACCTTGTCCATGACCATGATCCCATGATCAGCGGACAGGAGGCAAATACGAGGTGGTCCCCCATACTTAGTGAAGTTGATAAAAAACTCCAACCACCAGGCTTTATTAATGGCTTTATGCTGAAATCAATCTATAATCATCTAATAAACCAATCAACATCCCCTGATTGGTAAACATGTGGCTGGAAATCCCACAAAAATCAAACTATTCATCATTCGCAAATAAAATAATCCTCAGTTTTATCCATTTTCCATAGATTTTCCATAGATTTCCCATGGATTCATCGATTTTCCATAGATTTTCCAGCCATCTGGAGCTCAACCGACGGGTTGTTCGCCTCCTGCAACTCACTCTCCGAGGAGGCGATGTCCGTCATCATGCGACTGGGGAAGGGCGCCGCCGTGGAGACCCTCGCAGTGGAGGCGCCGGCCTGGCGTCGCGGTCACCGGCGGCCAAACCATGGGGAGATCATGGGAAAATCATAGGAAAAAAAAAAAATATATATATGGGAAAAGATATGGGGAAATATATGGGATCATCATCCTACTTTTTGGGAAAATGTACAATGTTTTTTTATGAATCATCAAAATGCCATTAATATGACTTTTGGGAGTAGAAAAAACCAAACTATCATTATTCAGGAAAAATGATACTATACCGCGATTGAAAAACGTGAACTGAACATAAATAAACAAAGGACATCCCTATAGCTCCTCCACAACCATCTCCTTTCAAAAAGTTGTCATCTTTAGCATTTTAACAACCAAAAAGTATCAACACATCATGTAAAACCCTAGCAGAAGGGAAAAAACAAACCAAGAACAGCAAATCCTTTACCCTCTGGTAAACAAACAGTTTGCTATTGATTTCATGGCCATTCAAAGTTGATTTACCCATTAAAAACGGTGATTTTCCACTTCGCAAACTGCTTAGTTTGCCAGGCGCTACTGATGACTTCTCACCTCTGGATCTTCATCTCCAGAGGTCGCTGCAGCAGCTGCGTCCTGAGTTCATGTTTTGAGTTTACGGTGCCCATAATTTGCCCATTAAATTTTAGAAACATCAAAACCATGTGGCACGTTGTGCATGTAAACGTGTATAATTATATATATACTTATATACAGACATATATTCATGTATATACTTATACGTACAGTTTCAAGGTAGAACGCAAAGTGGATCAGGACATTTTCTACCCAACACATCGCAGATTCACCATCCTTCAGGCTCCTTTAGGGTGGGTGATCCCCAACCAGGTCCAGCGAAACCCCACCGGGCCCTGGGTCCCCATCCTCCTCCGGATCTCCCTCAGAGGATGCCAACGGATTGGGTGCAGCAGTGGAGACCCAGGCAGAGTTCGAGCCAGCCTGGGTGATTTCTGGAGCGAAAAAACCGGTGTATTTGGACACATCACCGGAAACCATGGTCTTACTATGGGTTTTTTTCCCATGAAAGATGAGAAAGTTAAAGCTGGTCACTGCCAGGATGCAAGGTCGCCGTTTACCAAGAGCAGTTTACCCGACTGTTCTTGCAGATTTAGTCTGGAAAAACTACTATAGACTATAGTAGATATATATATATATATATTTGTAATAATATAATAAAAAATACTATAATATAATATATTATATTATGTTATATTATATTATATTAGATTATATTGTGTTATAATAGTTTTATATATATTCTATATCCAAATCATATATCCAAATCATATATCCAAATGGTTGGGTAAGCAAGTGGGAATGGTTGAATTGGGCCAAGATCCTTCTGACATGCCGGGAAGTTAACCAAAGTGGATCGATCTTGGTGGGTTGGTCGATCCCCTCGGCAGTGTTGCAATGGTATCCACATGTTCCAACCAACGCTGCCGTTGGGGATACCACCTGGGATTATTGATGTGGTAAATATCATCATTTCACCAAAAAAACCAAACATCATCCACTTGCGTGTAGTACGGCTACAACCCATCCAAACGCATGAATTTGATGGTTGATCATCATTTCATGAACATCTGTAAAAATCAGCAAAAATTGAGGTATCCCCCATTCTGAGACACATATGGCCAAGAGTCAAAACCCAGGTACCCAAACAGTACCCTTAATAGCTGGTTTATAGATGTTTATTTCCCCAAATATGGTACCCTCCAGTAACATAGACTCCGCCATTCACCGGGGTTGGAAGATTCGTTTCCACTCTAAAAATCGGTGTTCATTCATTTTCAGGGTCCAGCTGTTAATTGACCAGAGGGTAACCATTATCATCCATTATTAACCATCATTATTATCAATTAACCATCCATTATTATCCGTTATTGACCATTATCAACCATTGTAGGATGAACATCCCCTTCACCAGGCCTCTGATGGGTCAAGCTCTGCCGGCCCCAGCGGCTCCGCAGCCGGCGCAGCCGCCTGGTCTTGGTAGATGCTGACTGTCCTAAAAAAAACGTATGACACATGTGGAATTGCTAGACCTTCGAATCATTGCAAAATGCAATTTTATGTTGTTTTTCCTCAAAATATAAACCATTATAAACCTACATTGTGACTCCATTTGATGCGTTTGATGATTGACCATTTATAAACCCAATATGATGTGGTATTCCGCCTCTAGATGACCCACGTCTGATTCAGCAGGAGCATCTGCGGCATCACCCACCTGCGCCTGCAGATCTGGATCCAGTGCCAGTGAACGTATAGCGAAGGTTGGTTTATAATATTTGATAATGACTAGATGAACTGTGGTTTGTTGGTTTGTAGATATTACAAACTCTACTGCTATAGAGTTAAGCCAAGGTTGTTAGTAACACTAGAGTTTTTTCATGGACTTAATATAGTTAATCTTAGTTAATTAGATGGACTATTATACCCATATGCTCCATGGTGCTGGTATATTTACCTACATGACTGGGTCATTTATGGGGTAAATGTTGGTGTGCATATACCAGCACCATGGATCCTATGGATCCTATGGGTTATAGTGCTGGATGGCTGTTAAACCGTCCCTTACTTCAGGACTCACGCCCCTTGACGCTTCCAACAGGACGCAGGATGGCGTTTTGCGATCTGGATCGATCTGAGGAACCCATGGAAAAAAACACCCAGCCTTCCCAGCAGATGAACAAATGGGAACATAAAACAAATCTCTCGGGTGGTTATGATTTTAACCATCAAAAATGGTGGTTTAAGCAACTACCATGGTGATTTATCTATAGCAAATTCGGGTCAGTTGGTGTTCTAACCCTATTGGCTATAGATAAATCACAAATTTTGTTGCGTAAACCACCATTTTTGATGGTTAAAATCAAAATTTTAAATGACTAAAAATCACCATTTTCGTCACCTTATCGCACTTCATGCCTGGCCTGCACTTCAGACATGACGGAGGCAGACTGAACTCCAGGAACATCAGGGCCCGAGCCATCAAAGGCATTCTGCAGCGTGGGGCAGTACCCTGCAAAAGAAAAGACGTTCCAGCTAGTTAACATTTAAAATATCATTACACAGAGACATGCATATATAATATAAAAATGCATATCTATATATATATATATATATGTGTTTGCGTGTGTGTGTGTGTGTGTTTTTATTTATTTGAAAAACATGCGTATGATATATATATATAAATGTATATATATATATAACTACTGCCACAAGTGCATAGATGATCTATGTATGAAGTTATACAAAAGAAGCTATATTTTTCACCAGTTTCAATGTTGCTAGGGCCATCAACCTCTGCGGCTGGGGAACGTGTCAGGACTTAGGGGGATTTTGGACTTACAATGCGGTGCTCCAGTTTAGTTGTTCTATAACTGGGCTAACTAGGGTTTATGCTTATAGCGAAGTTGAGAAAAATAACTGGGCTAACCGTTGGCTGTGGCACTTAAATCGTTCCATATCTATATCTATATCTATATATATATATATATCGTCAATGGTGGTTATGGTCGAACTTCTGGGGAGCACCATCTATGACTTCTGCAGGTGCATCACCGACCTGCTAAGACGAGAAATGGCAATGCCAATCTGCTTACGTTAATATAGAAATACGAATATACATATATAATATATCATATATATATAATGTGTACAATATCTGTGTGTGCCTCTCTCTCTCTCTATATATATATTCCTGATTATTCATGTATATATCATGGGATATCATAGGATATCACGGGATATCACCGGATATCATAGGATATCATAGGTATTTGCGCACGCACACACACAAAGAAACGCTGCTTGAATTTCGGATGGCATCAGGGTTTGCCATGCCAAGCCTCTTCTGGACGGTGGTCTACTTCCGAAACTGGGGAGCCAGATAGAACGTCTGCTGGAAGAACACCAACAGGAGAGTCCACTGAATCCTGCGCAGGTACAGCAGCGCCATATACAATGATAAGCCTGGATCACAGATCGCAATGAATTTTACTATCTGAAATCTGGCAAAAAATAAAGTATATATCAACATAAGTATGTATATATATATATATACATACCCACACCATCCCTTACCACTGAGGGACTTCGATTGGAGTTACTTGGGATCTGGCCCGATCCGGCCTCCAGCTATCTCCAGCTATTTTAGTATGGTTCCTTAGTTACCCTATCTTCAAAGATTCACCTCCAGAACTCCAAATGCTGGCCTTCCTGGGAAACCCAACTTATCGTTCGAAGGCCCCTTCCTCTAATTTTCATCCCTCGAATTCCCTAGACATCTGTTGAGATGTCGCAAGATTGAACATCATGAAACAACCAGTTGAATGAGTTCAAAGATATTCAAAGATATGTTCAAAGGTGAAAGCAGCGTGAAAACGCCTTCGTCACTGGATTGATATGGATTGATTTCAGGGAAAATCTGCAGGAAAGAGTTGTGTTTTTACATGTTTTTACCATCAAATATACATTTTTATATACAGCTTTCCGGCTTTCACGAATTCATTCAATGGGACGACTTGGACGTTTTTTGCGACGCCCAAAGGTGCCTCGCGTTGCGCCTCGGGACCATCGACAGCATCAGCCTGGTGACGGTCTCCATTGGTTGCATCAGATCTGAAGGGATGTCCAAACCACATAATCTGATTATGGCTGAGAAGCTGCATCCACTTCACGAAACATGGACCAAGCACCATCGTAGCTGTTAGTTTCCAATTATTGAGGGGGGGGACTTCTCATGGTTTTTTTCTGATTTTTGCATCGGCATCAAAAAGTCCCCGGAATCCCTCAACCTTTGGTCGTTTTTTCGATGCATTTTGGGTAGGATCCCCATGGTGGGGGAAACGCATCATGGCTGCAGATGTCTCCAGGGGACATCCGGGTCTCATCCGGGCGAGCCTCAGGGACAGATGGTCCAGTTGCCTGCAATGGATTGAGATGCAGCATCCGGATGGTTTTTTTCTGCAGGAAACTTCGGTTCCACACTTGCAGATGCTGATCATATCTGATCATGTTTACCCCATCATCCCCTGACTTGCGGCTAGATATCAGTTTTTTTTTTATCAGAATATGCCCAGCGGGCATTTTAAAAATCCTGTTTGGCTCCCAAAACATAGCAGCTCGTTCTTTTTCAATTACCACGATCGACCGGAAAAAAAAAAACACGGGCACCCCAACTCCCACGATCGTCCGAAGGGTTGGTTAAGGGTTAAGTATGGTCAGTATAGAACCCATGGAAGCCATCCCACACAATCCCAATGGCCTCTCGACGACTCTCTGGAACTGAATCTTCAGGGAGCGCAGATGGATGGCATGTGGCCTCGATCAAGACTGAAGGATGGCATGGGCCGGTTCCTATTCCTACACATCTTGGAGATAAAGACACATCAGTTGAACAACTTCTCAATCTTTACCCCAGGGTAATCAAACATGGCACTGGAAAATCGACCATTTATAGATGATTTTCATTTTAGGGCATTTCCTGGATCTTGCTGAGAACACCAGAGGGTATCATGACATTATGATCTTATCACCGTCTCGGAAGGCCCGAAATATCCACCATGAAACAGATCCTGGAGGTTGGTCTTTTCCCACAGCTATTGGGATATGATATATACATTACATCCCATTACATTAGATAGATTTGAAATCCCATTGTACCTATCCCATTACATCCGTTTCTATCTATATATATAATACCCAAATATATGGCTATATATAATGTATAATTACCCATTTTATGATATTTTATGTGTACATGATTTCTACCCCATGAGAAACATCCCCGTTATATCTCCTTCTGTCTCAACGGACATTTCCACCACCTGGCGCCTGCGCTTCTCGCGCTTCTGGGGCCGGGGCCTGGCTCACATCCTCCAAACGTTGGCTTGTAGCGAGTTTTAAAGTCCATGAATAAGCCATAAGTAATCAATAAACCATATAGTCATATATAAACATCTATCAGTATACCATAGTTACTGTATCCATAGTTAAACTGATACTATAGTTGTAAAAGTTATAATATCATATAAACCATATATAGTTATTGGAGTTATGTTCACCAACTTAGCTATCGTTTGGGGGCGCCCCTTTGTATGCATTTTTAGCTGTTCCCCAAAAAGATAGAAACAAACGGTTCAATTTATCAGTATTGTCACTATTTAATTTTAATAGGCTTCTACTAAACTCAATGTTTTGCAGCGTTGCTATAGAAGAAATTAATTGTGGTTGGATACTTAGTATAGTACCACCCCAAAAATAGAAAGTAATTCTTCGCTATCAGATTCGGATGTTGCTGTTCTAGAATGTGTCTATATTTTTTGGGGGGCTGCTATAATGGATATCAAGTATTATGACATATTATGAACTAACATGATGCAGCCGTTTTGGGCCCGCAGCCGGTCTCAACCCATAGCTGTCTGACATGCCAATGACCCAGGCCCAGGGTCGAATCAATGGAAAAACTCCAACTTTGACTCAGTTTACTACTGCTTGGTGGTATACCTACCCCTCTGAAAAATGATGGAGTTCGTAAGTTGGGATCATGAAATTCCATATATATATATATATGGAAAAATTAAATTCATGTTCCAACCCACCAACCAGATCAAGTTTTTCAACCTTTTTCAATTCTTGTCCTCTGGCAAGCTTCCATTGACATTCATACCTCTCCTAGAGATTCTCCTAGGCATCAACCCAACGCAAAGATTCGCGCGTGGTCGGACGTTTTTTCGAGCGCCAGCTTTGGAGCGATGTCTTCATGATGTCTTCGATCGGCGAGGCGACTAGAAGGTGCCAAAGGGTGAAACGCTGCAACCTCAGTCAAGTTTGGCTGGTTCTATTCTGAACCTCCGGCCTCAACAAAAAGGCGGCCCACTATTCTGGTTTCCTGGCCCTAAACTCATCTGTCCCAATCTGATCTAAACTCATCTCATCTTACGGATTCTTACGGTATCCAGACACCTCCGAACGCATTTCAACAGCACCGGGTCTCAACCAGTGAATCATTGGTTGATCTCACTTATGGAAAATGGCCCATGTTTAGATGATTGACTTATTACATCCTATCACACATGCATTTTTTTTCCATAGCAAAGTCTTACATGCCCAGAGGCTAAATTACAGTGTAATATAGTTTTATATGTATATATATATATATGATATATATATATATATATATCTATCTGATATATATCTGATGACATTCCTATTCTACCACCTTTGTTTGATTAAATCCCCATGTTAATTACCATCGTTTTTGGCGAGGCGACGTACATTCACCGAGGGAGGCGAACCTCGGATCACCACTGACACTTGGGGCTGCAGCTGAGGCTATGTTTCATGGGGGGTAACTATGGGATTATAGTTATAGATATAATATACTGTAACTATAATATAATAGTTGTATTTGTAACTAATATAATAATAGTAACTATATAGTAACTTTGGAATCTATAATATACTATAGATATAATATAATAGTTATAGTAACTATAATCCCATAAATATAATAGATATAGTAACTATAGTCACTATGGGATTATAGATATGATATAAGATATATAAGCACCATTTTTGGTGGGATATTGTTGTCCGTTTTTGATTTTGCCCAACTTACTACGATTGCAGATCTACTTACATTTTGAACAGCATATAACATGATGTACCTACATCCCATAAATAAACGCTGAATGTCTTGATTATAATGTTCAGAATGTTGGTTTTAACGGGGCTATATCCCAACTTATGAAATCATAATCATAATCATAATACAACCACCATAAGATCCATAATCCATAAGTTGGGATATAAGTCGTTATTTTGCCAAACTTACTACTAGTAGGGTGGCAAATCTACCTACAACTGGAACTACACTCTCAAGTATCCTACACTCTCTCTCTCTCTCCTTTGAGTTTCAGTGCTGGAAAACGCTCTCACCAGACTCGCGGGCGTGTTTCTGTAAATCTGTCACTTGATGTGTTGAAGATCTGAAGTCTTTTTCTTGAAAAACCGGCTTCAGGATGCCTTTTTAAAGATGTAAAAAGAACAACACCACGAAATGGACCTGACCTGCTCTCAACCTGGGAAACAAACATGAACCAGCCACCCTGAAGGCCTAGGAGCTGAATGGAACAGTGGGGAGGCTGGAAATGCTGCCCAGCAGGTTACCTGTGAAAGGGCTCAAAACTGCTGATGATCTGCACCATTCCCCGACTTTTGCCATGGCTTCATGCGAAAACATGCAAAAAACATCGAAAAAGTCTGAGACGGACTCGCATTTATGTAAACTGATGACTAAATTCCACTTTTAATTCCGACCCAAAAAAAGGAAACAAGGTCAAACTAACCAACAAAATGGTGATTTAACTCGGATTTCACTCAGCTTTCTCAGCAAACGTTTGACAAGGAATGGTGTTCATTTAACTCATCTTGGGTCAAACAACTCTATATAATCATGTTTTGAAAATTGTTGTGACATGATTTAACTACGGCAACTAGAGTGATCTAATTTCTAATCATTCTAATCTCACCAAATCTAGCTAATGATATTCCTCACTGAGCTCAATGAGTGGTTTGTTTTGAGTAATGCAGTACCCTCTGGTTATGTCAAAATAGCTATTGAACATGGCCATTTATAGTGAGTTGTCCATTAAAAATGGTGATTTTCCATAGCTATGTGGCTGTTTACCAGAGGGTAATGCCAACATCCCAAAATCCCTTGGAAATTCCACGCCAAAATTCCTCACCTGGAGGCAGCAACCCGGCCACGGCTGGCTCTATCGCTGGCGCGGCCACCGGCTCCGGCAGCGCGGCCACCGCGGCCAGCGGCTCGGGCGCCGGGCGCAGGAGCGTCGTTCCAACGGCACCCAAGGGTAGCGGTTCGGAGGTGGGGAGCCTGGTGCAGCTCACCAGGTAACGAATTGTTGGATGGACCTGATCTGCTCTCCTGGTAATTTTGTAACAGTTTGCTATTGAAAATTGTGATCATAGAATTGATGGGACAATTTACAGGAAAGCCCGATCAATTTGATGGTAAAAACCATGGTTTCCGGTTAAGATTTTCCCTTAAACCAATCCAGTGATGTTATCTATAGTTGATTTACCTATTTTAACGATGGTGACTTTCCATAGCTATGGGTTGTTTATTAAGAGCGTATTGGATCTACCCTCTGGTTTTCTTTAACATAGACGAAAATGTGCCCAATTCTTAGTGGAAACATGTTCGGAAATCTTCCCACCCCTGGGAGGTCTATGTGAACATTTACTGGAGGGTGATGAAAATATGAGTGATATTCAGTCGGTATTATTGGGATCTAAATGGACGAATGTGGTAAACCCATGGTAAACCCATGGATCATAAACAACTACTGCTTGGTGGTATACCTACCATATTATGTTATTGCTGGTTATATATTGATTATACATTATATATATATAATTACTGCTTGGTGGTTTCAACCTACCCCTCTGAAAAATCATGGACTGAAAGTCAGTTGGGATGATGAAATTCCCAACCATTTAGGGATGGTCGGGGATGGATCCCAGCTGGGGGGTGACCCCAATTGTTCCCCATCTCCAACCATAACAAAAATACCCAGAAACCATCATAAACCAACAAAAAGACTCATTTTCTTTCTCAACTTACAGTAGTTACTTGGTCACTTCCCACCTAAACGTCCTAAACCATGTTGGTATATATGTTTAGAATATCTTGGAATATCCATAGTTACCATAGTTACCATAGTTTATTGAGCATAGTTATCATACTTACCATACTTACCATACTTACCATAGTTACCATAGTTGATTGACTTTAGCTTTCTTCTGCTTTCTTCCCTTCGCCAACCGTCCTTAACACCGCAGGATGTCCGTCCAATCCTCCCACCTCCAGGCCCTCGCCGGCGGCGGCTTGGGCTGCGGCGGCTCCGGCGGCTCCCGCCAGACCGTGTCGATGGGCGAGGCGGAGGCCTGGGTGGATCCTGCGCGAATGTCATGGTGACATTTTTATGGGAATGTCATTGGATTTTAATGGGAAAAATGGATTTTAAGGGAATTCATTGGATTTTAATGGGATGATTTAAGGGGGGAAAAATGTTCCAATCCAATTCCATTATGAACATTTTGCTGATCTTTAGGATGATTTTAAGGGGAATTCATGGGATTTTATGGTGAAAACCGGGGATTTGAAACAATTAAATGGGGATGTTATTGGGATTTTTCGGGTAATCAAAGGTGGCAATTGAAAATCCTCCATTGATCATTTATGGATGCTTTTCCCAGCTAGAAACCTTCATTTATAGGGGATTGCCCATTGCCATATTTGATTACCTACCGGGTATGTATCACAACAATATGGAGTTTGATGGATTTTGGGATCCGAAACCTGATTTTACACAAAAACGGATAGAGATTTCATGATTTTCCCATATTTCCCTGGATTCTCCGGCAAAAAATTCGGCAACAACGAGGAGTGATGCATTTTTCCATCACTGCGCATTTTGGCGCTACACATAATCAAAGTATCAGGTTCAATCCATGGAGATAGGGAGATTACCTGCAAAAAAATGACGATTTTACACAGAACGATTGTCATTTAACCGTAGGATTTCGAACCAAACAAGAACGAGGACCTACCCAAATGAGAGTAACATTTGTCTCGAACGTTTCTTGTTCATCCACTCCCGGTTCTGAAAATCACTTGCAGGTTTGCGGTTGCAGGTCTTTCTTTGGAGGCCTGTAGATTTTGGAAGATTATTCCATAGTGGATATGGCCAATAAACCAGGTTGCAAGTGTATCGTTGATATCAAAGCTGAAGTGCCACTTTCATCGATGGAATCGTAGCACCCTTTGTGTCTTTTGCCATGCAGCTCGTTTGTTCGTTGGAATTGCACCTCTCCATGCTTCCCAACCTCTCCAGATCAAAAGTCAGAGTATACAGCTCGACTAAGGTACTGTCCCCAGGATCTGAATTTTCGAACCAGATCCAGATCCAAAAAAAACTGATGACTTGCCCTCTTGGTGGTCCAATAGCACCATAGCACTGTCCTGTCTGGCTGTTCCAGTCCTTGGTTGTAAAATGTCTGAGGCTAGGCTAACCCATGTTGTTGTTTTTTTTTTTGGGGGGGTGTCACTTTCCCATTCACCTTCCCCAAGTCAAGTTGTGATTTTGGGGTATGCCACATTTTCAGACACACACATGACACTAGTGACGTGATCAAAACTGTTTGGAAAAAGACATCGCGCAATTTGAGGCATTGTCAGAATTTCATGGTCATTACACATTGTTTGGGAAAAAATGTCGGAAAAAATATGGTCATTATACAAATACAGTTATTATACAATCATGGCGATGGTGGTGATGGTGTTGATGGTGGTGGTGAGGGTCTACCTCATCCTGATCTTCACTTCGAATCAAGCAAGTGGCATCTCATACGCTCCCCATAGAGCAATTGCAGCACTTTCTCTGAACCGAATCCCTGCACTTGAATCATTTCTTTCACTGGTGACTGTCACAAACGACCACAAAATGCACCACATGTACACATCAAATATATGTTTCCCTATATCCGCAGCCAAACATGCAAAATAATTTTCTGGCACACGGATAATTTATGGAACAGCAGAGGCGTTCCATGAAATTTTCTCCAAGCAGCTGTGGTTTCCTGCTGCTTCCACGGGGTGCAGAAGGAACTTCGTGGAGAACATTCGCAGAGGGTGAACCAGGCGCCTTCAGGGCTCGTCACGGTCCTGGACAGGGAAGGCCGGGACTAGGAGTCACCAGTCGGAAATTCCTGCAGAAACCCTGCTTTTGAACCGTTTACTGCCCTGAATTGCTGAAAAAATGGGGATTTCCGATGTTTTTTTTCCCCACTAACATCTTGAACGAAGTCTGGAACTGCTTGATGGTCCCAAAATGTGCTCGTCGGTTGGGAGAATAATCGCAGGTTGAACATAAAACATATTTGAATGAAATAATCAGGTGACATGGGGTAAGAAAGCAGTGATTCCCTTTGGTACTTCAACCTCACAGAGGTAATTCAGTATCATTCATTCATTTCAATTATGATTGGCCGGACCAAAATCCAAAATGTGAGAAATCCAAAAGAGAAAAACTCCTTTCTTTGACACGTCCCAAAGATAGACAACACTATGCACATACTGGTCCACTTTATGATATTTATCTATCTTTCTATCTTTCTATCTATCCGTGGTTTTTCTGCACCGAGACTCGGCAAAGTGCTGGTCCCTGCGGTCGCGGCCGTGCCGGCCGCCCTGGGCGAGCCAGGAGAGGCCAGCGCCAACATGTCCTTCAACGCTGCGGCTTCCTGGCTTCGTTGGACGTCCCAATTTTTGGCCCGGCTTTGCGGCCCCCGGAAAGTGGGTGTATTTGATCCCTATAAGTGGGATGATGATGATGATGATGATGATGTGTATATGATATTGTCTAATGATCACCTGATTTCATGATATCTGTTTCTATTGATAGTTTTTTTGTTCACAGGTGATAGTGTTTTCAAGTCTTGCGCACCTTTTCTTTAGATATCTAGGCCTTTCAAGGATGGTTTATTGTTTTACCTACATTAGTGTTTCTTTTTTACTTTGCCCACTGTAAAAAAAAAAACATGTGCCAGGGAGGACCATGGAACCGCCAGATTTCCGATCTTCCAAGTGTCTTGAATCAACAATCTTGGAAGCCCAAATCCGAAGATACCCTCCATGAAGCAGCACGCTATTAAAAAAAAGAAAAACATTGCCGTTTACAATTTATAGATAGGTGTTCAGTTCCGGCCCGAGCCCCTACCAGTGGTGGAACGGTTAACTACCAAACGCCGGGTGATCGTTGTATCTACTTTCATGGAGATCCCTTGCTTCTTGCGGTTGCCTGGGAAGATTGGGGAGCGCTTTTCGGGCGTGTTCCAGTTTGAGAGGAGCTTGGGCGACGATCTCATGGAAGTTTCTTTGGTTGGGGCAAATCTCCAAATTCTCATCCCTTGGCTGCCTTGCCAGGGTAGGTTCACCATTTATGATGCAGTCATTCTTGAAACGGAGCCACTGTTTCTTTCTTTGGATGACCAATCGATTTATGTTCCACATGAGGGTTGCTCAGACAGTTTCCAAGTGAAAGAGGTGTGTGCAGGGATAGGAGGACTTGGAATTGGCGCCACCCTGATGGGGATTCCAGTGACTGCAGTCTTGGATTGCAGTTCATTGGCCTGCGCCCATTTGCGGTTGAACCAGTCCGGCAAGGGCAACATTCTTTGCCGAGATCTGGAAGACGATTCCGCCAAAGGTGCATTACATTTGCTTGGGGGCACTCAGAACTCCATTTTGGCTGCTGGATTTCCCTGTCAGCCACACTCCATTCAAGGACAGAGGGCAGGTTTTCAGGACCCACGTCATCAGGTTTTCATTGAAGTACTTCGCACTGCCTACTTGCATGGTGCAGTTGGAGTAGTGTTAGAATGTACCCCACAAGCTCAATTTGACCAGGGGTAAGACGGGGCCTTGAAACACTGGCCATACTTATGGGTTGGAGTGTTCATGAGACCACCTTGGCACTCTCACACCAGTGGCCTTGCCGCCGACACCGTTGGTGGGCGATCCTTTGTCCAAAAAGCTGGAGTACTACCTCCTTGCTGAAGTGGCCGGAGGACTCGGACTTTTTGCAGGTGGGCATGGTCCTTCCTAGCTGGGGGTGCTGGCCGGCATCACACGAAGATGCACTGAAGTTGACGGAGACAGAGCTTCAGGCCTATGCCAAACCAGAATACGGAACAGAGCAACGTTTGTTGACATCAGCATCCATGGCACCAACATTCCTCCACAGCTACGGGAACGCTTTGAGCCCTTGTCCCTGTGGATGTCGTCAATTTCCTTTTGCAGAAGAGACATTGCGAACAAGAGGCCTGCGAGGATGCTATGTGCATTCCATGCTCACTGGTGCTTTCAGATTTCTTCATCCCATGGAATTGGCAGCACTCTTGGGCTTTCCAGCCACCATGAGTCACCTCTCAGAGGTTCGACACGCTTTGTGTCTTCTGGGGGCAGTCGCTTCTCCACTTCAATCTTTGTGGACTTTCTCTTGCTTCCTCTCTTTGGCCAAGGGGGACAACATGCAAATCACACGCCAGGCAGCCTTGGAGCATCTCCGGGCATACAAGCATCGACTGTGCCGAGAATATGCCCAACTCTGTGCACCAGCCCTGCAGACTCCACGCAGCTTGCGTTTCTTCTCCATTGAAGGTCTCTTGATGCACATCCAAACCCAGGGCCTCATTACGACTGGAGCTCTCTTGCAAGCGGAGCAGTTCACACTTCATCCTGGCGAATTCCTTGAGCTTTGGGATGGCCCACGACAACTTCCACGTGATCAACCTCTTTTGACCGAAGGGGATCACGGGCCATACACGTTGTACCTCAATGCAACGGCCAGACAACCCAATCAACAGGGTACGGTGGTGATCGCCGTGCAAACATTGGAGCAACTTCACATCCTCTTCTTGCCCAGGGGGACCTTCCTCTTTGAGGTATTGCGGCAATGTGCACTGCCGGGTGGCTGCCTCCTGCAAGATGACCATGGCAATCCCTACCCATTGGACTTTAGGGTTTGGGACAGCTACCGATTCAAGGTCTCCACCCCTACGCCGCCACAAAGAGCAAATGGACTTGCTTCATCACATGGACTTGGACTCTCAGATACGTCCATTTGGCAGGCTATGATTGGACTTACACAGCTGGGCTTTGGACTTTTGCCCCAACGCCTGCTTCTGATTCACCCCCTGTGGACAGATCGCCTCTTGAAGAAGACACAAGCGCCTGAACCGATGATGGACTTCTCACTCTCGAAGGCTTTGGATTTTGAGGAGATCTTCTGCATCTTCGCTGACCAGCACCATTGGGCACTGCTTTGGGGTCATCAGCAGTCGGAGGGCATCTCTTGGACTTACCTCGATGGACTTTGCCATCCCATCCGATCTGCTGCCCATTGCTTAGCTCTTCAACTGAGCGATCTTCTTCAACTCCCAGCCTTGGACTTCAATTTGCAACGCCACTACCACCAACAACATCCTCATACTTGTGGCACAGTCGCTCTTTGGCATCTTCGCCACATCTTGTTGGGCCCTTCAAACTTGGACTTCCATCGTGAACTGCAGCTTCATGAAGAGTGGTTACAAACCTCTAGATGGGACGACATCCTGATGGCCTTTGGTCGTGCCCCATCAGACCCCGACCGTCTGGCCAACCTCCTTCAAGACAAAGGCGTACCACATGAGGCTGCAGCTCAACGAGCTCAAGATGTTCTGGCCACATTGGGGTCCACGGCGGTGACTGAAGCCCTCTCTGCGACCAACCCATGGGCCACATTGAAAAGCCTGTCTTCCAGACCAGCTACAAGATTACGTCTGGTCAAAGACCATGAGCTCAAGGATCACATCAACCATCAAGCCCGCACCAAACATGGTGCCCACGTCCCTCGGGCAAAACAGAAGAAGCAATCTTCTCCGGCTGCTCCACTTATGCCGGTGGATCCGAGTACTTTGCAGCTGATTCCCAACACCTTTGTGGATGACGATGGCGATGAACTGCAGCAAATCCCTTTCACAGAGGTCTGCAAAGATGCTCATGGAGTGGCGTTTTGCACGCCCAGACAAGCTGAACCATTTCTGGCTGATCCAGAAAGCATCAGCTCCACTACCCTTGGACTTCTCATCACCAGTACGCTCCCAACAGAGCAGGTCACTCTCCACAACCTGACTTCCATGCGCTTTCCGGCACTATGCACGGCCACGGATGAACCAATGCTGATTCAAGGACACCTTCTTATCCTCAGCGACGGTGCCATCCACCGTAAGGAAGACACTCTTCCTGACATGCAAGTGTCTAGCACAGACATTGTGAAGATCCAGGTGCACAAAGAAGAGATTTCAATGGATTGGACTCAGGTGATTGGTGGCCCCATTCGAGCCATTCTCCAGATGGTCCCGGCTCTTCGACTTTGTTCCGGTCGACAGTGCGGCACCGATTGTCCACTATACCACCCTCCTCTGGATGATGAGGTTTCAGGGCTGATCCTGGACATCTGGGCACGAAGCTTCTGCAATCAACATGGCAAGATCACCAAAGCAGAGATGGCCCACTACTTTCAAGCTCTACTACGAGTACCCTCAGTAGCTCTGGATCATCTGCTTCGAATTGTGGTGCCGGGCGTCTACTTTGAGCCACGGGCATCCACTGAAAGAGGACCACATCCGGACTACAGTGTCATCTGGCTTCCTGGACTTCCTCTGGACAAAGCTCTGCACCGACTACGAACTTGTGACCATGGACTTTCTTTGGCCAAGATGCATCAGCGCTATGGCATTCGAGTCAAAACAGTGCATGAGCAACAAACTCATCAGGCCCTTCGCCCAGATGATCAGTACATTGCAGTCCAAGTCAAACAGGTCTACGTGATCTTTCCTCTTCCTCATGGCCTCACACGTCATCAGGTTAGCAAGCTGCTTGAAGCTTGGCAGTGGCGAGCAAAACCACTTCAAACTACGAAGGGCACTCATCAAGGTCAAGGCTGGGCCGTCGGCACTGACTGCCCTCCTCCAAACAAGGTGATGCGAGGCTTCGACCGTGACCTCTTGATCACCCTGCAGAAGGAAGTCGGCTCCTTTGCCACCAACACCCCAGTGGTTGCTTCACAACGCACCAAGAGGTTCTTGAAGGATGGTGCATCCTCACTTCCAACCGAAGATCCTTGGCACAATGGGGCGGATCCTTGGGCCATGCATCGTCCAACGACATTGCCTGCTCCTTCTTCAGCGGCACCGGCACGTCGCTTGGAACAATTGCAAGCACACATTCGAGAAGAAGTGAAACAACAAGTCTCTCATGCACCTCCGGGACTTGATCAAATGCAAGCGGACCCCACCATCCAGCAGTTGCAGGTCAACATCACTGAGCTTCAAGCTCAGGGAGCCCAATTTCAAGCCTGGTTCAGTGAAGCCGGCCAACGGATGACCACTACGGAACAGCAACTTCAACACCTTCATGCTGTGGTTGAGCAACAAGGTCAACATGTCTCCCAACAGATTGACCAGATCCAACAGGAGGTCGACAACAAGACCCAGATCTTGCAGCACTCTCTACAGGGCTCCTTGGCCGCCATGCAACGAGACTTCGATGCCTCACTGGACGCAAAGCTCTCCAACCGCTTTGATCGCATTGAGTCCATGCTGGCCAAGAAGTCGAGGACAGAAGCCTGACTAGGGCACACTCGCTGTCGGAAGGCAACCACCGGCAGGCGAGGATTCTTCTCTTGGTTGCTTTGGATTTACCTCCTACTGCCTTGGGCGTGGGCTGGAGGCATTCAAGTTCGAGATCCAGACCGTCCCTGGACTACCACTTATCTGGCTGAGTTGGACTTTTACTCAGCTCCAGTTCGGGCGTTCCATGGCCCTGTTGGGGGAGCTTCCCCACATTTTCAAAGTTTTGCTCCTGGTTTTCGCTTTGGTGAGGCAGACCACCCTGGTCCAATGGACTTAAACGATGGGACAGTGACAGCCTCCACTGACAACATGGATTTTCAGCGCCTGCGGGTTGGATGCTCAAATCCCAGTGGACTTCGTGGGAAAGAGTTGTCAGCCATCTCATTGGGTCCTGGCATTTGGACCTTCACTGAAACTCATTTGACTTCAGTGACACAACCATCAGTGGCCTCTACCATTGCTTACCAGGGTAGCCAACAGAATCGCTCCATTCGTTCCCTTTTTGGAGCCCCGGTCGCTTTTCGACCCAATTCCAATAGTGCGGGCATTTGGTCAGGAGTGGGCGTCATTGCTGACTTCCCATCACAGGAGCTCCATATCCCTTGGCCTCAAGGAGAACGAGCTTCGGGTCGGGCGATGATTTCCAGACATTTTGTGGGCACCACCAGCTTCACCATTGCCTCCGTCTATGGCTTTCCTGCTGGACCCACATGGCCTCGCAGTCGTGAACTGACAGAGCAACTGCTTCAGCCGCTGACCAAAGAAGTCGTCATTGGCGCTACGGGTTGCCGCATCATCCAGGGCGACTTCAACCAGACAGTGGGAAGCTTGGACGCTTTCCAGATTTGGCGACATTATGGCTGGGTTGAGGCGCAATGCCTAGCCCAGCATCACTGGGGACGTTGCATTTCAGCAACTTGCAAGAATGCCACTACAGTGGATCTGATGTGGCTTTCCCCGGAAGCAGCTACGCTGTGCATGCAGGTTGGAACCTTGGATGTATTTATGGAACACCAGACAGTTTTTGCAGATTTTCATCTACCAGCCCGCCCTATGCTGATTTCCAGATGGCCGCAACCTTCCCAAATCGACTGGGACCAGGTAGACCTGCCTGCCTGGCGTGCGAGCCTCATTCATCCACCTGGTCCTTCGCACACGACGGGCGCAGCAGATGACTTCTATGCAGCTTGGGCGACGCATTGGGAAACTGCACTGGATGGTCATGTTCAAGATCAACCTCGACGGCAACTTCCACGGCGATGTCGAGGCCGCGCTTCACGCACTCGACCTTGCAAGATGCCGCTGACTACACCAGTGGCCAAACCCTCTCGACAAGGTGCAACTGCGCAGCAATTTCCTGTCTCTGGCCACTCACAAGTGGTTCAAGCAGCTTCGCCGGCTCCAAAGCTTCAAACATGCAGCCCAAGCCAACAAAGCCACGGTCGATGCTGAGACTTATCGTCTCTTGCTATGGCAGGCCATCAAGCAAGCATCAGGCTTCCACATGGACTTCCCTTCTTGGTGGCGCCAGAGACCGCATAAGACTCCTACGGCACCACATGAACTCCCTGAAGCCCCGCCGGCGGCGGCACTGGCAGAAGCGATCTTCTCGGACTTCAAGCTGCATTTCGACAAATTCGAAAGCTGGCAGATCCGTCAGAAGGGCCGCTTGCTTCAGCAAAAATATGATGCTTCATGCCAAGCCCTTTTCAAAGACCTCAGGGACCCTGGCCGTGGTCAATTGGACTTTTTGTGGGATACCCAAACTTATGCGGTTCTGGATTTTTGCTTGGAAACCAAACAGATCCATTTGGATCGACCAGTTTCCCTGACCTCCAGTGTCAAGTGGTTTCATCAACAACATCCTTTTGAACCACAGAGCATCGACAATGACCTTCTTACGGTCACAGCCATGCCTGCAAACTTGGAGATTGGAGATGAGCTCACTATGCATCACTACTTCACCTCTCTTGAGGAGATTCACCAGGCCATGCAAGCCCTTTGGCAACCGCGTTGGCAGAAGCTCTCCACCATCGGCTCCACTGACTGGACCCGCATCATGGGCTTTATTCAGGCCTATCTACCTCGACGGCATTATCCAGCCTTGACCTTGGAACCACAAATCTGGCAGCAGACTTTGAAACGGTTCCCCAAACATGCTGCCCGTGGAGTCGACGGGATTTCAGTCTCTGACCTTCAACACTTACCAGAGGAAGTGACACAAAACTTGCTGACCTTTCTGGATAGCATTGGGCACAATCAGCAGACATGGCCATCAGCTATGCTTTTTGGCAAGGTCATCAGCTTGGCCAAAAGAGAGGACTCCCACCTACCGGCACATTTTCGACCGGTTGTTATCCTGAGCTGTGTGTACCGCGCATGGTCGCGCATGCAGGCTTTTCCACTGATCCAGCGATTGGCTCAAGAAGTTCCAAACCAAGCACACGGATTCCTTCCTGGCCGGGAATGTGCCCAAGTTTGGACACAGCTTCAAGGCTATATCGAACTTTGTTTGCAGCAACGTTTGGATTTTTGTGGATTTAGCACTGACTTAGAAAAATGCTTCAACAACATTGACAGGGATGTTTTGTTCACTTTGGCGCAACATGTTGGTTTTTCAGCCTCTTTGCTTCATGCGTGGCGCAGCTTTTTGGATACTTTTGAACGGGCTTTTGAAGTCCGTACTGCACTGAGCACGGGCCTGCGTAGCTCTCAGGGACTCCCTGAAGGGTGCTCGCTCTCAGTGGTGGGCATGATCTTGGTGGATTGGGCATATCATGTGTACATGAAGCTGTTGACTCCTTCGGTTCATGTTTTTAGCTATGTGGACAATTTGACCGCAGCTGGTTTTAGACCTCTACAAGTAGTTTCGGCATTTTTCTCCACGATGGGCTTTTTCAAACTGTGGGGGCTTTCCCTGGACCTGGACAAGAGCTATGTTTGGGGACTCACACCGCAATGTCGCCAGATCATGGCCTACTTGGGCCTTTCACTGAAACAAGATGTCCTGGAATTGGGTGGCAACATGTGTTTTGGCAGACCTCGCCGGAATCGGCTACTGAAAGCCCGGGCCCTCCTTTTGACGGGCAAATGGGCCAAATTGCGCCGCAGTCGCGCCCCAGCGGCACAGAAGGTTGCGATTTTGCCGGCCTCCTTCTGGGCGGTGGCCCTGCATGGGGTAGCCATCTGTCCAGTCCCTGACGGGCATCTTCATGACCTTCGCCAGTCAGCCAACAAGGCCTTGAGATGGAACCAAGCAGGCAGTAATGCTATGCTACGTTTTGCCCTACAGCCCAACATGATGGCTGATCCGGGCTTCTACCATGTGATGCTGGTTTTGACTACTTTTCAACGCATTTGTAGAGGTTCACCTACGTTACTGGCATGTTGGCGATGGTGGTTTCAATCGTTTCAGGGAGATTTGCAACAAGGCCCTTTCAGTGTCTTGTTGACGACGCTGACCAGCGTTGGATGGGAACTGGTTGATCCTCCTTGGATACGGGACCATCTTGGTGGCGATCATGATTTTTTGCTTATGTCAGGGCCTCTCATGAAGCAATTGATCCAAGATGCATGGCTTTTGAAGGTGGCTCAAAATGTCCATCACCGGCCAACTATGGCGGGACTGACCGGCATTGACCGCCATGTTACGGTGGAGACCAACACCACTTTGACTGCGCACCAGCTTTCACTGCAGATGGCGTTGCAAAGTGGGACGTTCATAGACACTTGGAGCCATAGTAAGTATGACAAGTCCAAACAGGGATACTGTCAAGTTTGTGATTGCCCCAATACCCACCAACACCTTTTGGTTTGTAGCAAATACCAACATTTACGGGAAAAGTTTTCTTTGACCAGCGCTGAACTGACCTCCTGGCCACCATGCTTTGCTCATCATTTGCTGTGCCCGCGCTCTCCTTTTGTGGATGCACTACGGGCCTACTTCTTGAACGTGCCAGACAAGTCGAACATCTTCGACAGTGGTCCGGAAGCTGACGAAGTCAACCACCTTTTCACAGATGGTTCCTGCTTTGCTCATGGGCGGAGAGAAACACATTTGGCAGCCTGGGCCGTCTACAATGCCACCACGCAACGGCCATTGGGGACCGGCCCGGTGCCAGGCCTCGAACAAACCATTGGCCGCGGCGAATTGAGCGCTTTGGTCTTTGCACTTCGCTGGGCTCTTCATTTTCAGGTGAAGACACACCTGTGGATAGACGCCAAATGGGTTCATGATGGTTTCCAACAACGGAAACGACATACTCCGCGGCACATTGTGCCGGTCAACGGCGATCTTTGGTTAGAGGTGGACAACCTTTTGGCCAACGGCGCGGCGCACTTGGTCGATTCTTCCTGGATCCCGTCTCATTTGGATCTAGCCCGCTGTGAGAGCCCTTTTGAAGAATGGATCGCGCGCAACAATGCGGCGGTGGATGTCATGGCGGTGCGCTGCAACCATGAAAGACCTCAATCCTTGTGGACGTTGGTGAACCAACAGCGAGACTGGGATCAATGTTGGCGAGATCGCTTGCAAAAGCTACGCCACTACTACTTTCACATCTATGAGATTACCCACCAGCCTCCCTCAGCGAGTGAAGTGATCCCTGTGGTCTCCAGTGACGAGGAAGAGAATGAAGGATCATTGTACAGTTTTGCTGATGTGCTGTCAGGGGCTTCAGACTTTTGTACATTCCAAGCCACGACAGGTTTTCCTTTTTCATTTTTGCAGAACCTGATGTCATGGATTCACGATCATGATGATTGCGAGGAGGTTCCTAGGCCTGTTAGTTTGTTGGAGGTTACGGTTGGTTTGTTGCACTTTGACCCGATTCATTTCCCTCATCGAAATCCCACGACAGGGGAATGGACCGATCAGGACAGGCTTCTGCTTTTTGAGCGGCCCACGCTGGCATATTATTTGGGTATTGTACAGAAAACATTCCAGTATTTGGCCACTCAATTTAGGTCTTTGGACCCCATTTTACGATCAATTAATTGTCTCAACCTAGGGGTGCATATTCCGCAGAAGGGCATTTTTCTCCGCCTCCCCAGGGCTCTGAGATCAGACATCAATATGATGTTGGGAGGTTTCACAAGGACGCGGCCCGTCCGCAGAAGTGCCGATTTGGCACGTCCTCTTTAGCGACCAATGGACAGGCTGGTGACTGCACTGCTGCGGCCGTGCATCGCTGGTCTTGGGAAGCAGTCCGCACTATAGATAGGTGTTCTATGGGACAAAAGCATATGTGCCATCGTCAAGTTACATGGTGTACTATGTGTTTATGGTCATCCATCCCATTCCAAGAATCTATGGGAATCCTGACATGATAGGTATAGTAATGAATGGATGATGCCCCAAAACACCAACTCATGGTAGAAAAAACTAGTTCCATTATTATATAGCTATAATATGCTATAATTGGCTATAATATACCGTGGTTCCCTTCAGTTTCATCAATCAACATTGATTCATAGTTTCATCATTCCGATATGGCTTAATCATTTAATCCACATTCTGACCATGGCACAAATACCCTCTGGTAAACATACAAAAAACTATGGAAAGATCCACCATTTTGTAGCTGGGTAAATCCACTATTTCAATAGCCATTTTCAATAGCAAACTGTTGACATAACCAGAGGGTCACTTCTATTATATATCCCATTTATATCCCATTAAACCCCATTAAATCCCATTAATCAACTATAAATGATGATTTTCCATGGCACAAATATGTTCTTTCCAGGTTTGATTAGCAGAATCACCAAGCCACTGCGTTGGCCACAGGCGTTCGTGCTCGCCGGCTTCCGCGAAAGCGGCTCGCGGCCTGGGCTTTTCGGCCATGGGAAGTCCACCAAAAAATGATGATTTCCCATACGTAAAATCACTAAAACCTCCATATCCATTGGGAAAATCATAGGAAAATGGTGATTTAATGGTGATTAATCCATGATTAATGGTGATTAATGGATAGTTACCCTCTGGTTATGACTAACATATCCATGGTAGATTTATGGCCCTAATCGAAATAGATGGTTAACACCGTTCAAAAATAGCATGGTGGATCTTTCCATGGCATGCTGTGAATGTCATGTCATAACCAGATGGGGTGCCCGGTGCCGGCAACGTTGCCGGCAACGTTGCCAAAAAGATCTTTGACTCAAGTTCAGCCCAAGCCCATGGCATCATATGAGATGTATGATTTTTGTGCACACACACACACGCACATACATATATATTAATGATATATGTATATATATATATATATATCATGATATATATATATAATAATATATATAATAAATAAAAATATGTAGATAGATAGATATAGATAGATAGATGTATATATTAGTACTGTAGTTTTTCATATTAAAGACACAATCGATGAGTTCTGTTCATCCCAGTGCAGACCAAGTCAGTGCTCCTCAACGTTCTGCGTTCCGCTTCGCCCGCTTCGCGTTACGGGCGAAGAAAGCTCCTCCTGGTGTCAGCTGGGTATGTTTCAGCAGGGTTCAGCGCATGTTTCAAGAAAAAGAAAGGCTTGGATGAACAATGATTAAGACCTTGCATTTCCATCTTTGCTACAGTAGGTTCATGTAATATATCTGAGGTCGTGCAAAGTATGGACGCCTACTCGACTAGAAGGCCATCATTGACAGGCGGCCTGTGGCCCTGGTTTTCCTGCGCCCGATTACAGCGCCCAGTTGGGCATAGGAAATTCTCCCGTTTAGGACTTTCCTCTTGCTTTGTTCGCATTAGCATGATGAATGGATCATGGCACCCCTTGAAGCCACATTTAGTATGAACAGATATAGATAAGAATCCACTACTCAACTATCCCTAATTTTAGTCACCATTAATCAACTGCAGTATATTCGCATCAGAAAGTAAACAAAAAATACCCAGGATGATTGAATCTGCGGATATCTGCGGTCATTACTATCAGATTTATTTGATTATCGGTTATAACTATACTTAATATACTTACCCTCTGGTAATTTAACATAGCTATTGAAAATGGCAATTTATATATAGTTGATTTTCCCATTGAAAATGGTGATTTTCCATAGTTATGTTAGTTTACCAGAGGGTACCCTCTGGTGAACTAACATAGCAATGGAAAATGGCCATTGAAATAGTGGATTTTCCCATTAAAAATGGAGATTTTCCATTGCTATGTTAGTTCACCAGAGGGTAACTACTGTTTCAATCATTGTCATGCGGCTGGGAAACTCAATTCATAGCTCCAACTGGCTCCCCATTTGTAAAGGGAGATCTGGAGACAGCTAGCTCCAAACAGTTCCCTCTCAACCACTGGACAAAGTAAAATCCCATGAATGTCTCAGCAATATCCCATTTATATTCCATGATATGAATTATATAATCATTGAGATGCCATTAATATAAAAAATATATATAAATTAACTATATCAGTCAAAACAAAGCCTACATTAATATGTTACATATTCCCCATAGATTCCCCATTAAAATCGTGGATCTCCCAGTGGGAAACAACCGCTCCTTCGGTGCACCAAGACCTCGCAGGTGTCGCACGGGCACCTCCACGGGACTGGGACGACCCTTGAAGTGCACCAGGCAGAGCCGCGAGTCGACGTCGAGGCCTCGGGGGATCGCTGGCTGAATGCGGCTGACGTTGGACCAGGATATGTCGTTAAAGGATGTCTCTGGAAGAAGATGTGCTGAGTTGTGGCTGGTGAAAATATGTGAAAATCTACTAGTGAATACCAATCATGTGCAAATACCACATTGGAATCAGACACATTTGATCAAGTTTGATGGACGTGCTGGAATGAAACGCAACAAATAACGCACATGCAATGTATGTCCATTACAGTTGTGATACCGGGTTCTTCAAAAAAACAGCCATCCACATGAAACCACGGAGATACCTTGCTTACCCCCGCAACCCCCAACTTCAATGTTGTGATCGGAAGTGCCGAGCATCATGAACAAAAAATGGCTGTTTCTTTTGAAGGCCGCCAAACACAAAATTCAGAAGACAACATTGAATTGGGGGACGGGGGGGACATGACCTCTGTGGTGTGGTGCTACTTCATGGGATGGCCGTTTTTTTTTGTAGAACCCGGTATGTTGTGATTGGCCTGGCTTCAGGCCTTAAGAACCATGTCACAAACATCCTGATTCAATGGCCATTCAATGGCCATTGGTACCTAAATTGGGGCCACCTACATCCACCTACCATTTTCTCGCCATACCTCGGCTTGGACCTTCCATGGACTCTCATTGCTTGGATCTTCAATGTCCAAATATGTCCCAATGTTAAACATATAATTCTCAGTTGTACGATGTTATCTATACTATGTGAATCTATATGATTGGCTAATTGCCAATGATAAGCAATCACAAACATGCACACAAATGATCACAGATCAAAAAAGGGATCTCTGGTTGATGGTTTCAATCCCTCTGAATTCTTAAAAATATGAACGTCAGTTGGGATTAATGATTATGATATTCCCAACATATGGAAAGTCAAAAAAAATCATGTTCCAAACCACCAACCAGATATCCATTCATAACATGTAATAACCATGATTGACCATTCTTAACCATTATTATATAACCATGATTACCCTGTTGATTATATACCATGATTGGTCTTAACCATTGTTATATAACCATTATTGTTATATATTATATAACCATGATGGTTATTGACCATTATTAACCATTATTCCACAACCACAATTATTTTTCATGTTAATTATTATAAGCATGTCAACTATTAACAATTATTAACCATTATAACAAAACCATGGTTATTATTAATGGTTATTAATCTGGGTAAATTATAATATTTCACTAACCTGAATAGTTCGGCCATTTAGGGATGATTTCCCCTACTAACTATGATTATAGTATATTATAGTGAGGGAGAACAGTGAGGTCATTATAATTTACCCAGAATAATCATCATTTACCATGAATAAGCACTATTAATCATCATTAACCAACATTAACCCTTAATAACCAACATTTACCCAGATTTTCTCAGCATTTTCTCCGCATCTTCGGAGTCCCAGGAGCTGAGAAGCTTTCCCAGCTCCCCACCTTAACGCTGCCGGAGGCCAACCAAAAACCATGTTTTTTTTCATGGCAAGATTGGGAGATGGGGATGGGTCAAAACCCTGGTACCTAGTGAACCCCAATTCATAGCTGGGATTTATGGATGTTCATCCCACTATAGTAATGTATCTATAGGTATTGACCCATACCCATATGATTTTTGCATGGAACATGGTGGACTATGATGATGATTTCAATGGATTGGTTTGTTGGGGAAAATCTACACCGGAAACCCATGGGTTTTTACCATCAAATATTAAGGGCTTTCCGGTTAACATTTTCCCATCATCCAATTCTATGACTATTTATGATGATTTATGATGTATGTAAATTTCTATGGGAATGTCAATCTAAATGTATGTAAATGTGGGAATTCATAGCACTTTTTTGAAGTAATTGGAATATCATGTTCCCAAGAATTGATGTTTTTTTGTTTTTTGGTGTCGATTCCTGGACTCGTTACTTCACCATGGATTTCTGGTTTCAATGCACCAAATCTCCGGTCCCCAATCTCTGGCCTGAGAAAGTCGCAAAATTTCGACCCTCCAACACCTGCCAGGCTGCCAGGATAGCAATCCTCCAATCTAGGATCCTGAAATGGCCATTGATAAAATGGATGTCTGAAAATACACCCCCAAATCCACGAATCATCATTTCATATCATTTCCCCCATGATGCCATTGACGTTTTGGGGTATACAAGGTATACAAATCTGGGGATTGTAACTCTAATATGTGCTATTGGCATATTATGTGACCATCTGTTTTTCCTGATTTATACGACAACGTCCATTCCAAATAGAGTAGAGAAACTGTTGGTTGTGACTGGGGGTCAACTTCTCTAGTCAACCAACCTGTAGGAAAAAAACATCTATCCATGCAAAGTTGACCTAGAATTGTTGGTTATCGTTATCAATTTATATCAGGTCACCATCATTTTGTGTCACCAAAAGTATCAATCATGCCCCTGCTGCAATTGACTCGCTTATATATATATATATTTCCTCCATATCTTTCCAGGTTTGCTCCACACATCAAAAACGTCAACAAATCATCAAACAAATGACACTATCCTGATCAATTCCCATCAAATATACCCTCTGGTAAATTAACATAGCTATGGAAAATCACCATTTTTAATAGGTAAATCAACTATTTTCATGGGCCATGGCTTCAACAGCAAACTGTTAGTTTACCGGAGGGCATCCAATAATCCCAAAAGCTGGTGAGAAAAAAACATCCCAATTGTTCCACGAACTATCCCATGAAAATCCTCACACATAAGAATTATCAAAATTCATCATAGTTCACCTGAAAATAGCTGTTACCCTCGGGTAAAGTAACATAGATGTGAGATAACCAATCGTTTCCGTTCGGAAAAACAAACTACAAATAATGAGTGGGTTTTCCAAGTCTATGTTAACGTTTAAAGGGGGGCATGTGGGATTAAGACCTCCAATGAAACAAACATTGCAACTTGATATTTGCCAATTCCAGAGCCTGGATGAACGACAATAAGATAAGATAGGTAGAGATAGATAGATAAATAGACAGATAGACAGACAGACAGGCAGACAGGTAGATAGACAAATAGACAAATAGATACACATGTATACTAATTGCTGGTATACCTACCCCTCTGAAAAATATGAGTTCGTCAGATTGGATCATCATCCCAACTATTGGGGAAGTCATAAAATTCATGTTCCAAACCACCAACCAGATATATTGGTATTCCAATGATTAACCATTATTAACCATAGATTAACCATAGATTAACCATAGATTAACCATAGATTAATTCCAGGGTTCCAGTCACCACCAACCAGTCATCCATATCATCCATTCACCACCAACCGCATGTATAGATTTTATTAGGACAGCTATGGATTCCCCATCCAATTCGTGACCTGCACGCGCTTGCCCACGACCAGGCCGCGACAGTGCTCCGCTACCGAGGGGACCAGCTCGTGAAGGAGCACCATGGCGGCGGCTGAGTTTTTGTGGCTGGTTGATGCTGATTCTTTCGCTGATTTCTGGGGTTTAACATGGTTTAACATGGTTTTTCACAGATTCTGAAGGCTGATTCTGAAGTGATTTAATATGATTGAACAGCAACTGATTCGACTGGTTTAGCTGATTTAGCTGATTTAACTATCAAAAATGAAAGAAATTAAAGCAGCAAAACTGGAGACAAATGAATAGTGGATAAAAACGGTGAAACATATGGAATAGGGATACTGTATGGAAAATCGATTGGGAAAAATAGTGAACATATTGGTGAGCCACATATTTTTTTTGATAAACATCACGATGAGAAGGCTTTCTGGTGGAAAAATTATACTGGTCCCGATGAAAACCTGGCGGTCACCCCACGCTCTTCGCGGCAGTTTCTGTTGACGACCGCCCTGAAGCCAAGTCAGAAATCCATGTCCTATGCTGGTGAAGCATCTGCCTCCAGAACCCCGGTTAAACCTTTCCGCAATGGATTGGTTGAAAGGAAAATCTACCGGAAACTTGTGGCTAAAATTCCTCACCTAATAGGGGATTCATTATATGGATTATGGAATCCCCTATTGAATCCATATAATGAATCCATATAATGAATCCCCTATGGGGGGGTTCCCTGCAAAATTTTTATTAACCGAGCTTCCCGACCCGAGTGATCGATGATCCAGGCGCCCCCTTTTCTCGCACGGAGATTCCAGGTACTAAAGGTACTAAGCCGGTGAACGCGGCGCGCGCGTTACCCCGAGTGGCCCAAACGTCTTCCAAGATGTGTCTCTGGTTGGTCTCGTGAATGAAGTTTTTCTCCCATCAAGAATACCATGGGGAGACTGCCAAGAAGACTGAAAGGAATATATGTTTAATTAATGTATGTTAATCTACTTGGTGGTTTTAACCATCTTGAAAAATATTAGTCAATGGGAAGGATTATTCCATGTATATGGAAAATAAAACATGTTCCAAACCACCAACCAGTAATGTATTCTTCTATGTTGCTGTCACCGCTCAGGATTGAACACATTGTATTTGCCCAAAAATTGGCCCCATCCAATTAAAGACAAATTGGGATAATGTTCACCGGCACCGTATATAATTATATATTATATTCTTATACCAGCTATCTTTCGAAAGTCTTCACGCTGCACCCAAGTTACTTACAAATAAAAGACCTGTTCACATGGGAGCCGACTGCATTGCCACTTCAGCCTACTCCTTCAGTTGCCGGCGTCATGCCGTGCCGCATCCAACCCCCTTACCTTGGAAGGGACAAGCTACAGCAAGAAAAACCGGTTGAAACAGAGTTACCCCCTGGTAAACTAACAGTTTGCTATTGAAAATGATCATTTATAGTTGATTTACCCATGAAAAATGGTGATTTTCTATAGTTATGTTAGTTTACCAGAGGGTATCCCACATTTGGATATATTTGAACATATGTGGATCCAATTAGTTCCAACCGAAGATGGGAATGGTTTGAATCCCACCGATAAAAATGGTGATGACTGGGGGATGGTTTACGAAATTGTTTTACCCACAGGACCATGTGTTTGTTAGATCTCTATAGAGCATTTGGTAAGGAGTTCTTTTGGATGTTTTGAAACAGAGGGAAAATCTCTACTAAATCACCAAAAAAAATAGTGGTTAAATTCCATTAAATCAGAATCTGTTTATGTTCTTTGCCATTTTTTACTTGAAATCTTGGTCCTCTGAGTTGGCGGCTACTCAACCTTTCAGGTCCATCCTGGGTATCTGACGATTTGACCTCTCTAAGTGGAGCCAATATAGAGCAGAGAAACTACATTTTTTATAAAATATGCAATATACTATATTAATCTATATTATATCAATATCAAACATTTCCATAAGATCCATTATTGTCGTTCATCCAACCTCTAAAAATTTGGCAAATATCAAGTTGCAATGTTTGTTTCATTGGAGGTCCTTGCTTGTTGAATCCAAAATAGCCTTCTAACTTCTAATAAATGTTTACAGATGTTTACAGTTTACATAGATGTAGAAACCCACCATGTGTAGATCATTTCCCTCAGGAAACCATGGCGTGTCCAAGTAATCGCCAGGATATCTCTTTCAATACCCAAGGCGCGGCCAACTTCGTCCCAACATCCCCGCCAGCTCCTATGACTGGGATGATCGAAGTGTCGAACCGCAGGAAAGGTTAGGACAAAGTGAGGATCCGACGAGGATTTTACATGATTATCCCACACAATAATCCCAAGGCCCAAAATAAACATGATTTTTTGCATCCAGGAACATGCTGAGTCACTGAGACATGCTGAGATAGAGTATCACTTCAAAAGTATCACATAGTATCACCAAAAAACAGTGAGGTTGTGTACTTATTACCCTCCAGAAAATTCACATAGACCCTCCCAGATAGGGGGTGGAAGATTAATGTCCAATAAAAATTGGAATTTTTCAGGGTCCAGCTGTTAATTTACCAGAGGGTAATATGCACCTTCTGAGGGAATGATGGATGAACCATGCTGGACCTGGAGTTCAAGACTGAAATTGCGCAAGGATGTCTTGCGATGAAAGTCACGCAGCACGGGGACGTTGCAAGCTTTCATACCGCAATTGAGGTACGGTATGTGTATACAAATAATGCGCATATTGTGTATGTACCGCAACTTGGGATGAAGCAAGACGAAGCCTACATGGTTACCCTCTGGTAATTTAACATAGCTATTGAAAACGACCATTTATAGGTGATTTACCCAGCTACAAAATGGTGGATCTTTCCAGTTCGCTATTTTGACATAACCAGAGGGTACTGGGATTTTTTTTTTTGGCATTGGCTTCGTCTCAAGTTGGTCTCATTTTCCGCCGATCGTGGCAGGGCCTTGTCCGAGCAATAGCATCCATCATCGGTGTCCTCGAGATCGATGGTGCTGCAGCTGTGCTGCCTACCTTTTTGCTGGGCAGGTCTTACGGCGTACCGTGTTTTTAAGGGCAAGTTATGGGACCATATTTAGCGTAGCTCACATAAATTCACATCATCAAAGCCCGTACTCAGCCGATACTTGGGTTTCCACAGTCACTGGATTGGTTTAAGGGAAACTCTCAACCGGAAACCATAGATTTTGCCATGAAATATGGGGTTTTCCTGTAAATTTTCCCTTAAAGCAATCCATTGACACAGCTGCTACAATTGATAGCTGCTACTACCAGGGTTTTCTCCCTCATTCCGAGGACTCGACTCAGTACAGGATGGGCCCCCCCCCAGTCGAGTTCGCGTTCAGTTGCCTAAAATAAGTGGCTGAATTCTATGGCTTATGGTAGACATATATATATATATAACTATAGTATTCATGGGGTTTATAAACGAACTTATAACTGGGGGGCACCATCCTGTACCTACCCTACTTCACTGGGTGGTTCAACCCCGTCATCCCCGGTTCGTCCTCGTTCACCAGTCTCAGAAAGGACTGAGCATCAATGGCTTGCTCCACCGTGCGTCCAAGGCCTTCACAAATGAGCCGGTACTCCTGGGAAGTTTTCAGCAACAGGTGATGAAAACTTGATAAAATTTGGCACTTTTATTGGGATGGGGATTTCACCAATCAAAATGATCATAGAAACAGTGATTTAATGACTAGTGGTGATACAATGATCTCTGGGTTTCCCAAATGGACCCAATGATTCCCATAGCGGCTACCCAAGTTTGGGATTGAGGCTGTAACCCTCCGACAAAGTCCAGCAAAGCAACTTGCAAATAAAGGTCCGATGTTCAAGAGGAAACTCCTCTACCTTGGCTTGTCTAAAAAAAAACTGTCCACCAAAAAAAAAAACATGGTCCAACAATTTTTTCCACAAATTCCTCCAAGCGCATTTGATTTGCAATTTCGGGGTGCACATCCCCCAGTTTTGGACACAACAGGGAACGTCTCTCCTCCTTCCACTCTTCAGCATTACCGTCAAATCCCACACTGCTTGCCTCGAGGTTTTCGACGTTTTGACGCGAGGCAAATTCGTGGCTTAAGGGGGACACCAACAAAATCTACTTGGGAATCGACTGCCCAATCTATCGTTTTTTTAGCAAAGCCAAATCCCAAAAATCTACCATCAAGAAAATGATTCCCCAAATGGTGGATGACAGTAGCCATCAGGAAGATAGAATAAAATAGAACATCATCAGCAAGTCCAGGAAAATGTGATGACAAGAACATATTCGGATCGGCTGGACATCGGCCGAATGGCATCTTTTCTGGATGACGGCTGGGAATGTGAGCACTGACAATTCAAAAAAAAAACATCATTAAAAACATCTTCGAACAAGAAAATTGCTATGAAGAAGTAAGTGTATCAGACGTGCCTTAGTCAAAAGACATGTGCTATGCTCATTCCACCAGAATTTTGTAGGGGTTCCCCAATCAATTGGTATATTAACGCATGTTAACGCCCATGAGCATGGGGGGCACTATCTATCTATCTATCTATCTATCTATCTATCTATCTATCTATCTATCTATCTATCTATCTATCTATATTGGATCCAAGGATATCCCCTTTGTATAATACATGAGAATTGAAACATGTTATACTCATCTAGCAATTTCCATTATCATTCCACATCTTCCAGTACCAAGGGGTGATCCCGGACAAAAAAATGCCCACTCGACCAAGAATCGAAGGCCAACATCTCTTGAGCATTCAGTTTTTGATCTCCGTTTTCATCAAAGTGCTTGAAGACCTCCTGGAAGTTGCGCGACTTCGGTGAGTTGGTCAAGCTTGAAGCTTGACCAGGATGGATGGCTTGGTTTGAAAATCTTGGGAAAACCATGGAAAACACTAGGATTCCCAAGATCCCACAGTTTGGATTCACACTTTTTGGACAAAGCCCTATAAAAAAAATGGCATGGTTGAGGTCGTATGATTTTCCCCCCATGGTTTTAAAACATTTCAGACCCAGGAGAATAAGGATCATAAGGGATCAAAAAACAGCCCCTGTCAAAGTCTC